CAGTCTCTCTCTCTCTCAGTGTCAGTCAGTCAGTCTCTCTCTCTCTCTCTCACTCTCTCTCTCACTCTCTCAGTGTCAGTCAGTGTGTGGCTCTATCCCTACCTCAGTACGAGCTCCGCTGCTGCCATTGTCCGGCACACTGTGACTCTCTGCCGCATTCTCCCACAGCAGGATCACAGCCCCGATCAGGGCCCCGACCCCCAGCACTAAAACGGAGCGGAGTCTGAAGCCCCGGGAGTTGGGAACCGGAGGACCCCCAGGAGGACGGGAGCCTCGGTTACCCTTTCGGGGCGACATCGGACCAAACCGACCAATCAGCAAAGAGGAACATGAGGGCACAGCGAGCGCTCCACCAATCAGGAAGCAGGGGCAGACACGAACTAGATCAACCACCAATCAAAACGCGCTGTTCGAAACCCTGTCTGAAAAATTAGGATATAATTGAAGACTTGCAGCCAATCAACAGCATGTGGGCGGGGCACAACAGTAAAAGAAGGGCGTGGCAAAGCGTTCTTTCCTCCAATAACGTTGCACAGACTAAAGTAGTCAACCAATTAGTATCCAATCCAGAAGTAATGGGCGGGGTAACTGTTGGACAACTCATCGTAAAACAGACTCTCGGTAACAAGTGCCTAACAGGAAGTCCATACAGCCGAATCCGCCATCTTTAATACTGGCGCCCTTACCTGGAGATGCCCACACCCTGTCATTATCATTTAAAGGGAACGCCATATAAAACTTAGTAAAGTCAATAATAATAATAATAATAATAATAACTACACACATACTGTGCTACCATAAAAAAACAACAACCACCCCAAACAGGAGTTTCACAAGGCCTTGTCCTACTTGTCAGTTCTAATTATGGCCGCTGGGGTAACTGTAAACTCTTTTCACACCTTCCTGGGTGTTTATTTTGGACCCAAATTCCCAATATTTTCAGTATCTCAGGCCCAGGGACTAATTAATGGTGGGTATGAATATTAGATGCTGTGTTCACTTTTCAGGTTGTTTTCATGCACTTTAGAATTTTTTTTTAAAATTTAAATATTCCTTACTGCACCTGTTCCATCATTTTATTTTCCGGTTTTATTTCAGTTATTAGTATTATTATTATTGCCATTTATATAGCGCCAACAGATTCCGTAGCGCTTTACAATATTATGAGAGGGGGGATTTAAAGGACCACTATAGTGCCAGGAAAACATACTCGTTTTCCTGGCACTATAGTGCCCTGAGGGTGCCCCCACCCTCAGGGTCCCACTCCCACCGGGCTCTGGGGAGAGGAAAGGGGTTAAACTTACCTTTTTTCCAGCGCCAGGCGGGGAGCTTTCCTCTGATCCTCCTCTTCGGCTGAATGCGCATGAGCGACAGGAGGTGCGCGCGCATTCAGCCAGTTCATAGGAAAGCATTTGCTTGCGTCTTCTCACTGTGATTTTCAATGAGACAGCCACTAGAGGCTTTAGAGGCTGGATTAACCCATTTATAAACATAGCAGTTAAAATAAAAAAAAAAGGTTAATCCTAGAGGGACCTGGCACCAAGACCACTTCATTAAGCTGAAGTGGTCTGGTTGCCTAGAGTGGTCCTTTAACTAAAAATAGGACAATTACAAGAAAACTTACAGAAAAAAATAGGTTGAAGAGGGCCCTGCTCAATCAAGCTTACATTGTATAGGAGGTGGGGTGTACAACACATTAGGACAGGCTATCAGGGTTATCTGCTATAGTGAGAATTCAAAGAGAATTTTAAATTTAAGGCCAAAGTAACTGAACTGGAAGTATAGTCGAATTGGAGAATTTTTTCAAGTTCGGCTACTGTGACCTAAAATTTTAAATTTACTTTGAAATCTCACTTTAGTAATTAACACTGTATATTTTGGTTCAGAATTTTGTCACCTCCAGTATTATATATATCACACAAACACAAGTGTACCTTTTCTTTCTGCCACTGGTAAAACGTTAACACTGTAACTCAGGTCCGAGTTCTTCAATCAGAGAGCTATTTGGGCAGCGAGAGCGCTCGGTGACAACCTTTCCGGGGATATATAATATATTGTGTGGGTGTACAGTCCAGGGAAAGGGGGTTCTGTCGGAAAGTTTGTCTGCTGTGGCTCTAGGTAAGTGAGGGCACAGCAGGGAGTCAATTGTGTTAGGTGGGGATAATGTAATTAAGTCCCCAGATAAAGTGACCTGTGTACTGTACATTGCTCTGTATGGAAGATCAGTGAGAATCAACATTGCTGTGTATTAATAACTGTGTGCTGTGCAATAAAGAGTTTTTTTTCTACCCCCTGGATTCAGACTTGTCTAAAGCTATTTTAATGCTATAGTTTCTGCTTTACAGGAGAGAAGATCTCCAGAACTATAGTCTCTGCAGCCTGGTCCAGTGGAAGAAGTCCTCAGAGACCCCAAATCAAGCTTTTGCGGCTGGGTCTGAAGTGCTCTAGCAGTAGCGAGGAAGCTGACTTGGCAGAGGCATTCTGTGTGAGTACAAGAGCTCAGTCACAAGGTCCTGTTACTGACTGGTTTGTTTAGCTCAGTGGAGCTAAACTCAAGAGGCAACAATTGCCCAGAGCACCTTGCAACGACTTCTCATTAAGCTACGTTGGGAAGTCTGTGATTGGACAGCCACAGAAAGTCTGGGCGGAGTTAGAAGGGGAAGGCTTGCAAAGGCTGCAGGCAAAATATCTATTAATAAGCACTCACACTTGCAGTGGATATTTGAGAAACGCATGCCACTGCTTAGTACATCGCACTGGACTTGAAACATGCTGTTCAGGAACCCTACTGCCGTCCACAGTAATAGTACAAAATTCCATTAAGAGTCTCCTCTACTGTTGCAGAACATGAAACAAAAGTAGCATGATCTAAATCTATATTAAAAGGGACACTATAGGCACCTAGACCACTTCAACTCATTGAAGGGGTCTGGGTGCAGTGTCCCTGCCCCTTTTAGCCCGGCAATGTAAAACAATGCAGTTAAGACTGGCTCTAGGGGTGGTGGTCTATCAGACAGCCTCTAGATGCACTTCCAAGAGTTGACCGAACTATCACTCCCTTAAACAATGCCGGACGTCCTCACGCTGATAAGGACATCCACCGTCAGTGGAATCCCCATTGGAAAACAGTGAGGCAATAGGTTCCTGTGGGGAGGGCCTAATGCGCTTACCTGGTCCCCCGGATGGTCTTGGAGGAGGCAGCGTACCGAGGGACATCAGTGTTGAAATCGGGTAAGTAAAGGGTTTTTAGCCCTTTATGTGCCACAGGGATTGTGGTGCAGAGGGTTTGTATAACACTATAGCTTCCATTTAAGCCCAAATGTCTCCCCCTACCTATTCCCAGACATCAGAGCAGAGTTCCTTCTGCACAACATGCTGTGTGCGTGAATTCGAACGAGTAGTCGCATACAACATAGCTTTAAAGTCACTTTATTTAGAAATGAAAAATATGTAAAGTCAAGATACAGGGGGTGGAGGTTTTGTCACTGGCGAGCTGTTTCTTGACTTTGTAAATTTTCTAAATAACTTTTTGGACCACACTACTTTACTTCATTTGAAGCAACACTAGAGTAGTCTCTTCACTGAATTCTGCAGACAAGGGATCTGTATGTTTTGGAAGCGATTTTTAGATATATCCCCAATGAAACAAAATACGCATAACACACATGCAAGCTTCCATTGGGGTATATCTACTAAACCGTGATATATATATATATTTATTTATTTATTTTTGGCCAGTGGAGTGTCCTTTTAACGCTAGAACTCCCTGATGAAAAAATAAATAAAAATAATATCTGGCTGAGCCATCAGACTTTTAGGTCACAATAACCAATGGATACATAAAAATACTTAAATATGGCACTTGGACTAATACAGCCCTAAAGTATGAAATTGTTTATATGAAGCATTTGATTGGACAATGCCCAGCACTATCACGGTAGTAGCTGCTAGGGAAAAGGAGGACCTTAATTTTATGGCAAGACAGGAGGCTTCATATTTGCTTTACTTTCTTCACGGAATTCTCCCAACAGCAAATAAATAAACAACTGAAAACAAAACCAACCAATCAGAAGACATTCATACAGTAAAATGTGGCTACGCGACTCCGCCCAATTCCTCTTTCTTTGCTGCTTGCCTTCAGGTGTGGCAGTTCTGATTACATTAGCCTTAGTGCTGTATATTTTGAGTACCTCAGTTTTTTACCATACCATTGTTTTAATTGTATTTTTTGGTCTTAATTATTGCTATTAATTCTTTATTTATACTTCATTATATAGATTCTCCCCTCAGGGCCGACCTCTTGTCGGTTCATAGAGTTTTTTCTTTCTTTTTCTTCACTCCTGCTGGCTCTTCGGCCATTTTATTCTGTTACGCTCTGCTCTTATTATTCCCCTCCCTTTCGGTTCAGGGTTTTTTGCTGACCGTGATCTAAGTCGCTTTTTTTTTTTTTCTTCTTATCTTCCCAAAAACTCTACAAGTCGGGCCCCGCTGCCGCCAGTATTGCGCAGCCTATTCTGACGCTTTTCCCGCCTTTTTTCCCATTAATCTGCCTAAAGGGTGACCCCCTGTTTATCTATATAAAGAAAGAAAAAATGTTATATATATATATATATATTTTATTTATTTTTATTTTATTTTATTTTTTAAATGTGGGTGCCCCCATTTACTACTGCATCTTTTGGTAACCTCCATATGCTTTACTTGGGTGACCCTCTTTTAACATTGGGTGACCCCCAATTATAAACAAAGGGTGACCCCCTTTCATATCTGTTTTTTCTTTATTATTTTTATTGGTATTTTAATTAAAACATTACTTTATTAGCTTGTTGCCTGCCTTTTATATGATATGATTTTTGGTCAGTGTTATATTACCCTTTCATTATTGTCATATGTCTGACCAACAAGAATTTACTGTTTCCGCTAAGCTCAAATCATGGCTCTTTACTGCCATAGCAGAGTCTATGCCCAAAGCCATAGCAGCATTCCACGAACAATCCAATCCTGTTCCCAAACCACCTATGACGCAAAGTTTCTCAGACTCTGAGGATTCACATAATGGATATGACCATGAAGGGGCCTCACACAAACGTCCATGGAAGGGCAACAGTGCCTCAGCCGGTAAAGGCAAGGCACCGGCTAAAAATCCGGGGTTGACAAATCCCCCACTGATGCACTACATGTGAATATTCCTTACGTCAAGGAGTCTTTTGTTAATCAGCCTCTGGTTTCCCAAGCCTCTAACACAATTAATCCCTCAAAAACCCAGGATCAGTCTACCTTATTAGATCTTAGTGGCCAAGCCTTAGTTGATCCCAGGATCATTAAACATCCCGCTCGAGTGAGTTAGTCCCATCAGACCATATTCTGCAGAATGTGGCTCTGCAAGCCTCTTGAAAAGGAGATTCGGAATAAGATGATAGCAGAATGTCCACATCCAACAATACCTGACAAGATGGCACTCACGCCTGAATTTGATCCTCTCCTGATCACCTTTCTAAGCAAGTTGGGTAAAGACCCCCGCAAAGTCCTTAAACAGGGTCTTAAAGTAGTTCAGGACAAGTTGCTTGACATCGCTGGCCCAATTATACAAATCTTTATTCTTGCTGATGAAGCTCTAACAGACGGTACCTTGGATCCACATTTGGTACGAGTATGGGCACAAAGGGCCTTATGTTTACTTGGCAATGCTAATGTAACTATTTCAACTGAACGACGCAAAGCTGTCTTATATAAGATTGACGCAAAATTGGCAGATTTGAGTTCTAAAGAACTGGGGCCAGAAGCTAATGGCCTAATGTTTGGTGATCAATTCATGAGAGACCTCAGACATGTTTCTGTTTTTACCTCTCTTATTAAAGCTCAAACATGCCTGCGCAGAGTGATCCACTCGTCATTTTTCTGGCAGGGCTGGTCGCCATAGAGGCCGAGTTACTGGCAGGACTGTCTTCACAGGCTATAGGCCTCGTGCCACTGAACCTTGGAACTCTGATTATGAACCGCCCATATCACAGACAACTCTTCACAAACAGAGGATCGATCAGAGGACATGGGTCTGCTTCCCTCAGGGGTCACACTGCTGCACCTACCCGACCTACCTTATTTTCTAATACCGATTGCAACCCATTTTTTACCCAATAGTGGTCTCTACTCACTCAGGATCCTTAGATCCTTCAAAATGTTTCAGGGTTTCACATAGATTTCATCTCAGACCCACTACAAGAGTTTCCTCCTCACCCTCTAAGGATGTCCCAATTGGACACAGCCATTTTACACTCAAAACTCTGTAATCTCAGAGACAAGGGTGCGATCGAACATTCTCCATTCTCCCACCCAGGTTTCTTAGCAAAATTTTCATGATCCGGAAGAAATCCAACAAACTTCGCCCATCATCAATTTAAGAAACTTAAATCAGTTTATCATCATTTCTAAATGGAAGGCATACCAATGCTTCGAGACCTCCTCTGTGAGGGAGATTGGTTCTCCCACTTTGAAGAGAAGCTTACCTTACAGTTCCGGTGGTGTCTTCCCATCGCCCCTTTCTACAATTCTTTCTACAGCCTCCAAGGTTGGGGGGCTACCTGCTCCGACCTCTCCACGGGCAGACTCTGGCCACAGTCGGAACTAACGTTTCATATCAATTGCCTCGGACTGATGGCCGTCTCCTTTGCGATGTGCAGCTTTGCCAAGGACACCTACAACTGTTCTTTGCTTCTCAGGATGGACGTTTCCGCTGTCCTTTAAGTCAATCGTCTAGGGGGTTCTTGATTAAAACTCCTTTCAGACCTGACAAGTGAACTTGATCAGTTTGGTCTGGACAGGAACCTCTCTCTTTGAGCAGAATACCTTCCAGGACAGTCACTGGCGAGATGCCAGCGATTGGCACCTGGATCCGGGCATTTTCCATCATCTACTTCGCAGGCCTCTCACTCTGGACCGGTTTGCCTCCAGACCGAATCGTCAGACCAACGCCTTTTTCCGTTGGTTACCAGATCCGATGTCTCAAGCAGTCGGTGCATTCCTACAGCAATGAACATCAACAGGGGCGCTTATGCCTTTCCACCCTTTTCGATGATGTCTCGAACATCATCTCAGGGTTCTTGGGAGTCAAGATCCTCTTAACTCCTCTCTGGAGGGCCCAGCCTTGGTATCCCAATCTCCGAAAAATGTTTGCAGATTATTATCTGCTTCTCCTAGTATCTCACAATCTCCTCCACGATTCTATAGGGGACTTCCATACTCTTGCTTATCCAAGGTAGTCTTCGACTCGTGACTTAGACTGTTTCAGGGTATCCTGGTATGTCTCAGGACTTTCAGACTCTGCTTGAGGACTCCTCTGGGATTCATGGACCTCCAGAACTCGTAGAGTATACCTTTCAGTATGTTTTCTGGGTTAGCTGGTGTTTGGAAAGGGATATTGATCCCTTTTCTACTACTTTGGTAAATATTTTGAACTTATCTTCTCTTTTTGACAAAGGAAAGTCTTACCATACCATAAACGTTTTTTGTTCTGCTATTTCGGCAGCTCATTTCCCGATTGACATGTTTCTGGTTGGGAAAACATCCTTCTGTTTGCAGATTGTTACACGGTAGTCGTCTTTCTCGACCCCCGGCTTCTTGATACTAATTCGGAACTTTCCTTACACCAACTTTCAGCCAAACATTATTGCATTGTTTGGTTTTGTTTTGTCGAGTTTCTGACATGTCCTTTGGCTTCCATGCTTTTGCATTCACCCCTGAGGGTTTAAGCTTTTCCATTGTTCGTCACACAAAGGTTCTTTCCACCTCTGTTTTTTTTATCCTTACTTTCCGGATAGACCTTTTCTTTGTGTTGCTCGTTGCTTACAGAGATACTTATCTCCCCTCTTCAGGCTCCATCGGGACCTCTGTTTGTATCTTATATTCGCCCTTATAACCTTGTGTCCTGTCCCACGATTGTTTGGACTAGATGGCTTCTTTGTCTTGCGGGCGTTGAAGCTTCTTTTGGTGCCCATTTTTTGCGGGGCGTGGCTGAGTTCTCCGCCTTGGTCACCAGGGGTCTTTTTATCTTCCGCTGATTGGTCACGTGAATCCACTTTCCATACCTTCTATTTCCTACCTGCATCTCATGCATTTTTCCATTTACTCTCCAGGCGTTAAAACAGGGAATATAACTGGGCCCAACACAAACTGCCCTTAGTGGGATGCCCGGAAGTCCAGCACACAGAACCCACCACAACATAAGACACCAACCATACAAAAGCAGAGAATAAGGCTGCGCCAAGAAAATAAAAATAAGTCCAAATAATAAAATGTTCTAATAAGAGAGTCCCAATGGTAGGAGGTGTTTCAATTGGTGTGGTGTCTTCCTTAGCAGTGGTCGTCTGTCTCACGATATGAAAGACACAATGGGAGAGAGCCAATTGTGCAGGGTGTATAAATAAGTAATATTTGAATGAAATATAAATTACACACTCACATTGCCATGAGCTAGGACCAGCCCAGGTATGATGGGCATACGGCGGATAACCCTCCGCTTGTAGGGGTGCTTTTCCTCCTGGAACGTCCTGGTGTCCAAATTCTCAGGGAAAGAAAATAAAAACAGCCAATAGTGCTCTCTGATAAGATGGTTCGTAAAAAGAATAAAAAGTAAATAAAATATACTCACAAGTAGAGTGCAGGTCAATCTGCACTCTGATATTCGCGTGGGTGGTATAATCCCCACCTTAGGATATGCCAGGAACAATAAATGAGGTTAAAAGTAATAATAATTATAAAATTATTTATTAGTACAATATATTAAAATATATATATTTTTTTAATATATTGTACTAATAAATAATTTTATAATTATTATTACTTTTAACCTCATTTATTGTTCCTGGCATATCCTAAAGTGGGGATTATACCACCCACGCGAATATCAGAGTGCAGATTGACCTGCACTCTACTTGTGAGTATATTTTATTTACTTTTTATCCTTTTTACGAACCATCTTATCAGAGAACACTATTGGCTGTTTTTATTTTCTTTCCCTGAGAATTTGGACACCAGGACGTTCCAGGAGGAAAAGCACCCCTACAAGCGGAGGGTTATCCGCCGTATGCCCATCATACCTGAGCTGGTCCTAGCTCATGGCAATGTGAGTGTGTAATTTATATTTCATTCAAATATTACTTATTTATACACTCTGCACAATTGGCTCTCTCCCATTGTGTCTTTCATATCGTGAGACGGACGACCACTGCTAAGGAAGACACCACACCAATTGAAACACCTCCTACCATTGGGACTCTCTTATTAGAACATTTTATTATTTGGACTTATTTTTATTTTCTTGGCGCAGCCTTATTCTCTGCTTTTGTATATATTCCCACTGTAGAGGGTTAGAGGGTGACCCTCTATATAGGCCGCTGCCTTTATTTTTGTATATAGTTATTATTAGCGCTAACCTTTCTTTCCTCTCTTCTTATAAGACACCAACCATACCTCACGAACCGGAGCGCTTTTCACCCGAAAGTGACCCCCCCGACACCAAACTCTGGACAACGACGACGACTAAGACGACCACAAGACACTTTAGCAACACCCCAATGGCCCAACACACCTGACCACGGAGTTCAGACACTCGGGGAGGGTAGACATGACAGTTTTGACCCGCACGGCAACTACACCCATGTCGGTAACCCAGTAAGAGACCTCCCGGACAGACTACACACCACCTTCTTGACAATTGCCTCCCCGACCCCACCTGCCAGACTCCGAACAGGCCCACCCACGGGGAACCCCCGGCTCGCATCGCCGTTGCCTGCGAATTTTCCCTCCTTACCTCTGAATATCAAGTTTCACCTTTCATGCCCCACACCTCAGCTCGCACTTTAACAGCACTATGTACTCCACTCCCACCACACACTCTAACCCCTTAAATTACCTACACCAAGGTAAAGTTAGATACAGCTGATACTGTTAGATATGTGACCTGCAACACATAAAATGTACACCCGTAAAATGTAACTAGAACTGTTTACGATGCTGGCCTGCTCAGCCATGCAATCCGAATTCTCAATGCTAAACTTTACTGGTGTATAATGTCTGCCACTAATAAAAACCTTGAATAATAATAAAAAAAATTTTAAAAAAAGCAAATATAAAGACTACTGTCTTGCCATAAAATTAGGGATTATTCTAGCTGTGATCGAATAATCCAAATTTTATTAAAGACAGGAGGCAAATATTTTCCCACCCATTGGCTTCTTTAAATCTTTCAATGTCCCACCCCTTTATTTCATCCACTTTGGGAAATTCAGGTAAGGTCTTACATGCCTCATATATCATTGTAATGTGTTTAGATTACTCTAGTTTTCATAAGAGATATATGTATATTGTATTGCATAATTTACATATGACTTGTCACATTATTGTTTGTTTCTCTATGACCGCCAGTCTACCCATCACACCATACTTTCACAAATTTTCTTTTCATTCTAGTGTGAAGTTTCTTCTTGTCCTTCACGGCCCCTTTGATTCGTCTCTTCATTAGACTCTTTATGTCTCATTTACTCGGTTGACTACGCTTTGTGTTTTGGGGACTATTTTCTGGTTTACATGGTTGACTTAAAGTTTCAGGTGCATCAAGAAAGAGGAGTTGGGAAGAGTCTTATAGCCACATATTACTGTCTAGATGTCTTCTGATTGGTTGATATTGTTTTCAATTCTTTAACGGTTTCTTTGCTGCTGGGAGGATTCAGTAAAGAAAGTAAAGCAAATATTCGCCTCTTGTCTTTAATAAAATTTAGATTATTCAGTCACTGAAGCTAGAATAATCCCTAATTAGCTGCAGAGACTAGTTCTGCAGTGAATGAAAGGTAAATAACATGGATATTAAAATCGCATTTAAATGGACATTGTAGGCACTATAAACCATTTCATCTCATTGAATTGATCATCATGCGTGGAGTCCTCTGGCACTGTCAAACTGTTTTTGAAAAGTTTAACACTAAATAACGGTCACTGGCCACCCACAGTCTGACTCCCACTAGAGATGTTACAAAGCAATATTACACACTTACTTTTAGCTATACCGAGTCATAACCACAATGGGTGGGTGCTGTGATAAGCTGAAAGATTAGCTGACACTTTTGGCCAATCATAACCACCCATTGGTGTTCTGGCTTATGCATCCTCATTAGCCCAAGCAGCAAAGAGGCTTCAGAGTTCATCATTTAGCATTAAAACATACAACCACACCCAACCCACCACACACACGTGCAGCCAGCATGCACATACACACGCGCAGCCAGCGCGCACACGCAGCCAACACACACAGCATGCACATAAACAAACGCACGCAGCCAACACACATTATATATATATATATATATATATATATATATATACACACACATTATACACACACACCCCCCCAACCACACACTACAAACAGCCAGCAAACACACATTATATCCAGCCAAAAACACACCCCCCCCACACACACACACACTAAAAAGGGAGAACATAGGACGAGACATCCCAAATAAAAATATAGCAGAGTTGGAGTACTTTCTGACAATGTCCCGGTCTAAGCAGAATTCCCAAAACATTCTAATTTGAAATTGTGTGTCAGGACAAGTAGATTTTTTTTTTTTTTTTTTTTTTTAAATTTACACACACACACACACACACAAATGACATAGCCGGAATGAATGCAGATTGAGGCAAGATACTGAAGGATATGATATGACATGAGGGGTAAATGACAAAGGGAAGGAGATGGCAAGTGATTTGGGGATAGCAGGACACAGCATATGAATGAAAGTGAGCATATAAGAACTGATACAGGGAAGAACACTCAAAGAAGCCACAGTAGTAGTCTGAATTTACAGGATTAAATGGACACCCCACTAATATAAAATTATATTTATACAAAATTAATAAATCACGATCTAGTGTACCCAAATGAAAACATGCATGCAATCGTTTTTGCATTTCCCCCCCCACTGCCGCTATATCTAAAACCAGCTTGAACGGTCTGCAGCCTTTGCAAGCTCCCCTTCTATCTCTGCCCAGACTTTCTGTGTTTGTCCAATCATAGACTTCCCAATTAGACGTCTTTGCAAGGCAGGTGCTCTGGGCAGTTGAGTTAAAGGGACACTATAGTCACCTGAACTTTAGCTTAATGAAGCAGTTTTGGTGTATAGAACATGCCCCTGCAGCCTTACTGCTCAATCCTCTGCCATTTAGGAGTTAAATCCCTTTGTTTATAAACCCTAGTCACACCTCCCTGCATGTGACTTGCACAGCCTTCCATAAACACTTCCTGTAAAGAGAGCCCTATTTAGGCTTTCTTTATTGCAAGTTCTGTTTAAGTAAGATTTTCTTATCCCCTGCTATGTTAATAGCTTGCTAGACCCTGCAAGAGCCTCCTGTATGTCATTAAAGTTCAGTTTAGAGATTGAGATACAATTAGTTAACCCCTTAAGGACGGAGCCAAATGTACACGTTGTGAACAAAACAAAATGTAAACAAAACCTGGCATTTGCGCTAAATGTCTGTTCAACCGCAATTCACCTCTTTCATATTAAATGCACCCACCCTTATTATATATATCATTTTATTCAGGGGAAACAGGGCTTTCATTTAATATCAAATATTTAGCTATGAAACATAATTTAATATGAAAGAAATGGGAGAAAATAAGAAATTTTGTTTTTTTAGTTCTACATGACATTTTAAACTGTCAATGTCATAATACGGTTTGCTTTTACTGCAATAAAATACACATATCTGTATTCAGCAAAGTCTCACGTGTAAAACAGTACCCCCTATGTACAGGTTTTATGGCGTTTTGGGAAGTTACAGGGTCAAATATAGCACGTTACATTTGAAATTCGCCAGATTGGTTACGTTGCCTTTGGGACTTTATAGTAGCCCAGGAATGAAATTTACACCCATAATGGCATACCATTTGCAATAGTAGACAACCCAAGGTATTGCAAATGGGGTATGTCCAGTGTTTTTTAGTAGCCATTTGGTCACAAACACTGGCCAAAGTTAGCGTTAGTATTTGTTTGTGTGTGAAAAATGCAAAAAACGCAATTTTGGCCAGTGTTTGTGACCAAGTGGCTACTAAAAAAAGACTGGACATACCCAGTTTGCAATACCTTGGATTGTCTACTATTGCAAATGGTATGCTATCATAGGGGTAATTTTTATTCTTGGGCTACCATAGGGTCTCAAAGGCAACGTACCCAATCTGGCAAATTTTAATGTGAAAAAAAATGAAACACAAGCCTTATATTTGACTCTGTAACTTTTGAAAACACCATAAAACCTGTACATGAGGGGTACTGTTGCAAAAAAAGTCACTTTTACTGGCGATATCATCATTGTAATACATTTTACTATTTTGAAACACTAATATTTGTGTTCAGCGAAGTCCCCCGAGTAGAACAATACCCCCCCATGTACAGGTTTTATGGTGTCTTGGAAAGTTATAGGGTTAAATAAGGTAATACCTTGGGTTGTCTACTATTGCAAATGGTATGCCATTATGGGTGTAAATTTCATTCCTGGGCTACTATAAAGTCCCAAAGGCAACGTAACCAATCTGGCGAATTTAAATTTCAAATGTAACGTGCTATATTTGACCCTGTAACTTTCCAAAACGCCATAAAACCTGTACATAGGGGGCACTGTTTTACACGTCAGACTTTGCTGAATACAAATATGTGTATTTTATTGCAGTAAAAGCAAACAGTATTATGACATTGACAGTTAAAATGTCATGTAGAACTAAAAAAAACAATTTCTTACTTTCTCCCATTTTTTTCCATATTAAATTATGTTTCATAGCTAAATATTTGATATTAAATGAAAGCCCTGTTTCCCCTGAATAAAATTATATATATAATAAGGGTGGGTGCATTTAATATGAAAGAGGTGAATTACGGTTGGACAAACATGTAGCGCAAATGCCAGGTTTTGTTTACATTTTGTTTTGTTCACAACGTGTACATTTGGCTCCGTCCTTAAGGGGTTAAGAAGAGTTAAGGACAGATTTACAGACCAAAACAGGAGAGAGTCTCACATACCTATGACATGATTGAGGGGACATGGTGGCAACGAGGGTAGATAAAAGACAATACTAAGTAATTGAAAAGGAAGTAGATCAGTCTACACCTTGTACATATCACAAAAAAAAAACATATAAAGCTTTGCTATAACTTTTCGTGACTGAAAAACTTATGGTCACAAAGTGTCGTGCATTTTCTCTTTCATTGGGGAGGGGCTTATAACCGCGATTTGTAAACATTGCTACAGCTATAAGCCAGAACCCCCGACACTTGCACAGCAAAGGAAGAATGTTTTACCTTCTTTGCATTGCCAGTTTTGTGAATCTGCCGCCTCCGGGACAAAGTACTTCTCCCATAAGCTTCAGGTGGGCAAAAAAGATCAAACCCCTAAAGACCAGAATGAATGACTCTTGATCGGCAAGGCTGCATGTCTTAACTCTTAGCTTTACAGATGAAGGGGAATGTATGTGCATTCGTTCCCAATACGGTCTCAAATCATGGCACCATAACCACTATAGACAATGGTCTCAGAGAAGTAATTTTCTGAAAGTGTCTGTTAAAGTTAATTTAAGTGAAGACTTTTTTTAGAGCAATTTGTAATGAGGGGGCTGATTGTGGACCCTCGGACGGTGTGAAATCTTCCAACATTCTGTGGCACATAATAGTGGAAAAGAATCTACTGACTATGCAACCAATACAGAAGGCTTTAGTAGTTGGTGGTTACAGTGCCCCTTTGATCACCGTTCTCACAAGGTGACAATATGTACTCCCACAACACAGTTTTTTCAGCAAGCACCAAACTGTAAAACTGCATTTTAAAGCACAAGACAAAATCAGTTATATGGAAAATGTGGTTTTCAATTCACTATATTTACTGCTTAGTGAATAAACCCAAGCAGCTCAAGTAATTTTCAAGAACACTGTAAAAAAAACAAAATGCTGTCCCACCAACATTCACCCCATCAAGGTGATACACTGACATCAATGCACTTATAAATAATCCCTTTTATTCAAACTTTCACACAGCAGAGTCCCCATTCTTCTAATTTCACCTGCCTTCATCACCCTCCCCATGCCCTCTTCCTCTTCCCCGGGTACACTCTCCTGGTAGCACCCAGTTATTGTCATGTAGTCCCAGCTGGCAACCTGGTGCTGCCCTGTCCGGTTTGCGGCAGCACATCCAGTAGGAACGGCCATAAGGCAGGTCGTGGTGGTATGGCTTTGGGTGCCATCTGCACATAGAAACATCCCCCCTCCGGTATAGACGCTTACATTGTTTACATGGATCATCTCGGTATAGGGGGTCCCTGCTCCATCGTGAATCGCATGGTCGTACCCCATAGTCCTCAATTAAAGCCCGAAAACGCCGGCACGTACACTTAACAGCAGCTAGTGCCCGTGTGGACAAGTAGCCAAAAACAGCCAGAAGGACATGATCCGGCAAAACTGAGAGACAAAGGCGTGGCTGAAGAAGCCGCTGTACCTGGAAGCGGATCTCTAGGAAATCATGGGAAACATGACGGTAAAGACGACAGAGGGGTGGCACTGGTGGTGGAGGGGGAGGTGGAGGCGGAGGGGCAGTAGAAAGACGTGGGAAGAAAAGCTGGCCAGGTAGTGGTTCTGTTTCTCCTGCTTCACCGCCATAGAAGACACAGCGGTCAACAGCACCGGTTAGCACCAAGTCCACATGAAAGCCAGCAGCAGAAGCAGTGGCCTGTGCTTCATCGGCTCGGTCAGCTTGAGGTGTCTCCATCTTTTCCAGTAAGACACAGACACGGTGTGGTTCAGGGCTTAACAACTGATAAAGGTCACAAGTGATGGGATCCCCTGGTCGTTCAGCCACTCTGAAGGCAATGCGCACCTCACGTTCTGCATGTTCTGCCTCATACTGGGCAACTGCCTCTGCCACACTCCGACACTGGCCTTCTTCCTTATCATCTGAGGAGGTCACTAGAACCAGAGGGGGTCTAGGCTCCACTACCTCAGCAGTGCGACTTTCCGCCAATGCCACCATCTCAGCTACCGATGGAGAAGCTTCTGGATCAATGGCATGGCGTCGTCTCTTAGCCCTAGAGCTGCCTCCTGCACTCCATCGACCTTTAACCTTTGCACCGCCCGGACGTGATGAGGCTCCATTTTCCGCACACTGGTAGGCCACAAAGAATGCCACTTTCTCCTTTGTGTTCCCTGGCTTGATGACATACCACGTATCCAAGAGTACACGATCATCTCCACTTTGATAATGGGGACTATCCGAAGGAGGAATTTCTTCCTCTGGTGGCTTCACATCTTCCACGTTTGCCTCAGCGCTACTTCCTTTACCACCTGAAGGGAGACTTGTAGAATACGACCCAAACGGACGTGGGCTCCACAGGTGAATGGGGGATGGGACCCTGGATTCCATGACTTCTGGAGATGGAGAACGAACGTCAGTTACAGCGTTGAGATTGGTGATCGCAAGGAAATCTATAAAAGGAAGGAAAAAAAAAAAAAGAGAGAGTGAGATTTACCTATAGAACATTGTTGGTTACAGTGACAGAACCAGAAAGGGGCACACATGTATTCACGCTACCTTCCTGTTGATAGGAAATTCAGTAATACCAGTATGCAAGCAGACAAATGACAGCATGATAGGCTGCAGTACAGAATGACAAAGGCAGCATGGTGGAAAATACAGGGAGAGGTGGATGCAAGATGAATAACACAAAGAAATGTAAGTGCAGTGTTTCTACATGGGGCACAAGGCAAACATTAGAAAGAACAATGTATTATCATATGAAAACAGACACCAGGCAATCATCACAATAAGACAGAGGACTGACAACTGGTATAGGGAGATACAGTATCACAGTGTCATTGTCACCAGTGTAAGGTTACATATCGGGTATAATCCATTAAGACTTCTTTGTGCGATACAGAATACGATAACGTACTTTACCAGTTATTAAACACCCAATCTGAATACTTGCCCTTTACTCCCAATTGCCTAGCCTCTTAACCTATTCCAAACCCACGCCTATAACCAGCAAGTGTAATAAAATAAAAACCAACAACACAGCTCTCTGTGGACTTGCACACTTTATCCAATCATAAAAAGAACCATTTTCCAATCTTCCATTCTATCCACCCCCCACCACAGTAATACAAACAGAATTCCTTCTGTAATATGTGGCTATTGTGTCATGTGACAGAGCATAGATCATGTTAATGGCTTCTGCACTCTGATACTGTAACACTCAGATAATAGGACTAGAAGCAGACTGGAATTCCCTCATCTATTTAAAGTATTGAACTCTGGATGCAGGAAGCCAGGGTGGGATGTTTACTCTAAAGCTAGCCTCTGACCTTATTAAAAAATAAATAAATCATAATAAAAGGGCAAAGTGTTAAAAATTATTTTAAAAAGCTACACTTTAACATATTATTCCTGTAAATGGTTTACCAGATCACCAATCTTTTATTAAACAGTTTGATGTATTTATCCATTTTGATTTTCTTTAATACACATAGACCCATCTATGCAAATGCACTTCCTCTTTTATTGTTGGCATTTTCTTCTCCACTTATTTGCGATCTGGATTTAAACAGGTATTTGGTAAACACTCTCTTCTGGTTCCTATAGTACTACAGACCCTACTCACTGCTTCTAGACCCAGCACCGCTCCACTGCAACCAGACCCAGCACCGCTCCCTCTCCACTGTCTCTAGACCCAGAACCTCTCCACTGCATCCAGACCCAGCACCTCTCCCTCTCCACTGTCTCTAGACCCAGCGCTTCTCCACTGCATCCAGACCCAGCACCTCCCCCGTTGCATCTAGAGCCGGATCCAGAACTTCTCCACTGCATCTAGACCAAGAACCTCCCCCAGTCCTCCGAGATCCAGATCCCCTCCAGAACAGCTCCACTGTTTCTAACCCCAGAACCCCCCCTTAATTCTAGATTCCGAACTCCCCCCATTCAGTGGCTCCAGCTCCCCCCACCCCAGTGACTCTTTGCTCCCCAGTGAGCTCCCATTGCAGTCTCCAGCTCCCCCCCATTCAGTGGCTCAGCTCCCCAGATTCAGTAGCTCCAGCTCCCCATTCAGTCCAGCTCCACATTCAGCCAGAGTAGCTCCAGCTCCCAACCAGTGCTCTTCCCCATTCAGTGGTCCAGCTCCCCCATTCAGTGGCTCAGCTCCCTCCCCTGCCCCCATCCCACCCATTCAGTGGCTCCAGTCCCCCCCGCCCCATTCAGTGGCCAGCTCCCCCATTTAGTAGCTCAGCTCCCCATTCAGTAGCTTCAGCTCCCCCAATTCCAGTGGCTCCAGCTCCCCATCATTCAGTGGCTCCAGTCCCCCCAGTTCCCCCAATCCCCTCACCTCTGTGGTTTTGATCCAGATTAAGTTGCACTCCCAGCCTGAGCAGTCTAACTCTCCCCCTCCTCCAGTTTAAATCCAGATCCTGATCCGGAGTTAATCCATGGCTCGCAGTGCTGCCCGCTGCATGCCACAGGTCCCGCGGCCGGTGCTCCCTGGGCCGGGCAGTGACCCGTCTAACACCCGCTGGGCTCCCCGGGAGATGTCATCCAGGGAGGGGTGACGCTTGGTGTTTGTCACCTGATCCCTTAAAGGGCCAGGCTCCCCAGCACCCACGCTCGCCGAGCTCGGCTGACAGACAGGAGCAGGAGGGGCCATCGGCCAATCAGAAGCCTCAGATCCGGCCATGTCCTTATATGGAAGAGCCCTGACACCTTAAGGGAGTGTGGGACAAGTACAGTTCTCAGGGAGAAACGAATAATAATACACAGAGCAGTCTGTACAAGCTGTACAGGAGGTGACAGTGACACAGGAGGTGACATGTCATCTATGGCATTAATTAGTGACACAGGAGGTGACATGTCATCTATGGCATTAATTAGTGACACAGGAGGTGACATGTCATGTATGGCATTAATTAAAGTCATGTATGGCATTAAATATTGTCATGTATGTGATTACTGACACAGGAGGTGACATGTCATGCATGTGATTAATTAGTGACACAGGAGGTGACATGTCATGTATGGCATTAATTAGTGACACAGGAGGTGACATGTCATGTATGGCATTAATTAAAGTCATGTATGGCATTAATTATTGTCATGTATGTGATTAGTGACACAGGAGGTGACATGTCATGTATGGCATTAATTAGTGACACAGGAGGTGGCATGTCATGTATGGCATTAATTAGTGACACAGGAGGTGACATGTCATGTATGTGATTAATTAGTGACATTTTATAGCTAGTGTTACTAGTGTTAAACAGCTTAGTAATTAAAACCACCAACAGGTTATCATGGTGATATAATAAGTGTGATGTAGCATGGAATTATGTCTGATACTTTCACTGAGCATTCCATTTACACATTTACACATTTATTTATTTATTATCATGTTAGGCACAAACACTGGGAATGAGCGTGATCCAATTTATATCTAATATAAATGAGTGAGCAATCTAGATCCACTACAATGTATCATGGACATATATATATAAATCTCCACGAAGAAAGGCACACGCTGGGCTTTTTGGATAACTGGTTATCCCGATGAAAGTCCTATGATGGACTGCTGTAACCCGTGAGTTATGAATAAAGACAAATCATTTTCTTCAAAAAGCCCAGCGTGTGCCTTTCTTCGTGGAGATTTATGTTGATTTGGCTGAAAGAGCACCGTGGCACTTATACTACAAATGTGAGTGCAGGATCGTGGATTATATAGAGAGAGAGAGAGACAAATATTGTTGACAGGAAGAAGTGTTGAAGACAATACATGCTGCCCTGCAGTATGTAGCATTCATAGGTTGCATTAGCAAGGTTGGTTAATGATGCACTGTCACTTGTGATGCTTTGCACAATTTGTGAAGGTACACCCCCATGGTGGCACATCCACTTCCATGGTAATCCATTTTGGACACTTACAATTTCAGTCAACCTTCAACTTCTGGCAACGTTGTCTGATATTTATGCTAGAAAATGTATAAATATGGGAACTGAGGCACAGGTGGTGCTGAAGGAAGTGATAGATGAAGTTAATGACTCCTACCTTTAATTATCACATAGCACCTTCACAAGGTTGGATAAAAGAAGGGCATCTTGGCCAGCCTCGCATACAATACACAGGAGCCAGCACTTTTTTTTTACTCACAAACAAGGGTACAGTATAAAAGGGCCTTTAACACAGCCCTTCTAAAAGCTGAGGCGTCAAAAATTTCCTTTTTATTTTTAATTTATTTGTAGTGGACACAATTATGACTGGCTGCTACCAAAATTGCTAAAGAACAAATAAATCGCCGTCTCTATTTCAGCCTAAAATTTGCGATTTCCTTGCCATTTCTTTACAGTTCAGTTTAGTAAATACAAGGCAAAGCCAACATCTTAGTTTTGATTTTGCACTTAATATTGTGTGTGCATGATTCTCTACAGGACAGAGCGTATGACTCCTATGATGTTAGGCCAAACTGAGAATCCATGACACTGGCTTTGATGCATCCTTGACCTAGATTAGTGTTCTCTCTACATGTTATTTTTGCAGATTATTTTTTTTTTCTGCATTAAACATTTGCAGATCCTCCCTCGTCCTTCCCTTATGTTAAGATTCTGATCATGCGCCTCTTACTGGCTTTAGCGTAGTCTGCTGCTGAGCTGAGAGCTTGCATTATCCAATCAAATCTTTAGCTGCATGCTCCAATGTGAGTCCTGGCACGCAAACCCAATGCTTGCAGACTGCATCTTTCTTTCTGGCAATGTGGATTTTTTTTTTTTTCACCATCTGCAATATTTCGTCCAATAGCTGGGTTTAGTCTGCTGTAAGATTTTCAACCTTGAAACAAATTGTGCTGTAGGTAGAAGTAGTAAAATCAATATTCTAGCCAATACGCCCAAATTAAGTTTTCAAGGGATCAGTGATTTATCCAACATGATGCAAATTGTTTCATTCAGTTGTTCTAACTATAGATAAACCATGGCCCGCAGTCACTTAACAATGTGTAGAATTCATATGATTCATGCAAAAAATATATTTATTAATGACGATGGAATCCTATAGGAAATAGCTTTATTAGTTAATTGATTTCCCTCCTGCAACTTATAAATGCCACATATTGCAGGGTAGAACTTTATCTGTTACACATCAGTATGTAGAACAGATATGTCTCTAGAGCAACATGATTGATCTAGCAATTCTAGCTGTTGTATATAATGTTGATGGTATTATCAAAAGCGAAGCAGGTCTTACACCTAATTGCAGCCCATGCAAGTGTTATTCCATATAATTTCTGTTTTCATTAATTAAGCTTTATTACTGTGTAACCTTGCAATATCCTACAGACTCAGCTCATAGAATGCTCAATGTGTTTTTTGGTTTATTGCCAAATTACAATATTTACAGCTGTTTTTATTGTCACTTTAAAAACACGAGTGAATGGTGGTGAATTAATAACTGAGTGAGGCCAATGTTTTTAATAAAATCCAACTCAGCTATAGTCATTGTTTGGCATTGTGGCCTTTATTCAGCAATTCGTTTTTAATACATCACAATTAAATAAACTATTATCATTTCGGGATTTGTTCTATACACAATACAAGACCTTTTAACTTCCTTTAAGCCTATACTCTACCCATCTTTACAGATGTTATGTCAAATACTACCTACTGATCACAAAGCCAAGCAAATAGTACGGCTTTAAGGATGATCCTATATCTCTGATCCCAATATAAACTGAACTTTGCTTGTGCACAGCGAGGGACTTTGTAGGATTACAACACTGGAGTGTTAGCCTCATGGGGGAAATTCTATTAATCCATTGCAAAATGTTATAAGGCCTGATTCCGAGAACCAAACAGGTGAACAGATTCAACCCAAGGCCAATGATTTAAAAAAAACTATCCAAAATTCCAATTATTAGTGAGTTCTGTGACTTTCCCATTTCAAAATTAGAGAAAATTAGACCTTTAGCTTCCCGGTTATTTATTATAAAATAATCTCCCAGTATGTAAACATTTACAGCCTTATTCACTAAATCGTAAATGTTTACCAATTAAATCTGAATGGGAAGACTGAGGCAAAAATAGCTAAGTTTTATCCATTTTGATTTAATTTGCAAAAATGTACTGTGATCAGTCCATCATTGCGAGAGTTAAAGCGTCAGTGTCATAGCATACTGGATTTGCTGCACACTGCAAGGGATTTTATTACTTTGTGTAAATCCCATCCATATATTCGAAGTAAAGCCACTGGTGTTTGCATTATTCGTATGGCTGTTTGAAGTCAGGCATTCCCCAATCCTCTGTGGACATGTTGAAGGCATATTACAAATAAGGAATGTATAACAAACATAGCTGCATTAATATCTGCAGGCATGAAAGAAAAGAGGATATATCGCCCAACAGCAAAGGTTTGAGACCTAAAGAGTTATAAGAATTAAGGCCTCGATTTAATATTCTTGGATAAGCTTTTGAAATGATTTAATATTTTTGGATGAACTTTTGAAATAATTCTTTTTAAAAAAACTAATAAAATATAAAAAAAAGTATGTATAATTAATTTTATATTTTAATACAGACACTCCTCACTTACCGACCAGGTTCTGTTCTTACGTAAAACAAATTGGTCGGTAAGTGAGGATGCGCTATAGAGCATGCACACCGGGCAGGTCTATGTTCAGGGAAATTTCCCCGAACATAGAGAAGGTGCTGCAGAGCAGGGAATCCCTCAAATCTATGTTCGGGGAATGTTCCCTGAACATAGATTAGAGGGATTCCCTGCTCTGGTGCGCTTTTCTATGTTCGGGGAAATTTCCCCGAGCGTAGACATACGCACCAGAGCATGGAATCCCTCTAATCTATGTTCGGGGAACATTCCCCAAACATAGACCAGCTCTCTAAAGTGGAGAATCCCTTGAATCCCCACGCTAGAAAGCTGGTTGTAAGTGCGAGCCGTCGTAAAACAGGTAGGTCGTAAAGTGAGGACCACCTGTATTCTGAAAAAATATATATTTTAAAAGTTCATCTGAAAATATTAAATCATTTGAAAAGCTATTACGAAATTTAAATATTTTTCCTAATATATGTTTTTTAAATTTATCCAAAAATATTAAATAATTTGAAAAGCTTATCAAATCAAGGACTAAAAGTTATTAATAATCACATCAACTGCACTGTGCTCACAAACGAGATTTTAATTAACAATGACTTGACAGTAAACAATAAATAAATAAATAGCTGAGAGGAGGGGAGTGGGTCGCAGGATGAGATGAGTAATTCAGTATTGGCTGGTCCGTGCCACCGAGCTGTTAGACATCAAGTCCTCAGCTACGTTAGGTCTCCTAGGTGAGGGGTGCAAGGAGCGCGGAGCGCAGGTGGACCTCCCTCCATTTAAAGAATTCTGCCTTTTGCGGTAAAGCTCAGACTGAACCTGTAAGAAGAAAGGGGAGGCCATGAGAAGAGGCTTAGAGAGAAATGAGATGAAAGGAGGGTAAGGCAACTTCAAATTAAAGCAGCACAAATTTGCAAAGAACCCCCAGTGGTGACATTGCTGCTGAGAGTCCGATGGCCGGGGGCAAGTAAAGATGAGTTGTACTTATTTGAACCTGTTCCTCGTGGGTGCGGCTTTCTTGATATGGCGGGTCCGCTTTGGAGCCCTCACTTTGTGTCAGTATATCTCTTGACTGGGTTGGAATTTCAGTGAAAAAAAGGTTCTATCTTTATGAAATACTCATTTTTAAGGGTTGGGAGGTGGTGGGAACAGTGCCATTTTAATAGCAGTTATGGAAATGGTCAGAATGAAGGAGGAAAAAAACTGGGAGCATTACTTACCTCTTTGTTACAGAAACAGTAGATAATAGCGACCAGCAGCCCCTGAGTACAAGAGAGAGAGAAGTTATGAACATTTTGCAAGGTTTACCCCTGGTATAGTGTCATTAAGTATCCAATCTTACCTTTAAATGTTTACGCACCCATCTAACAGTGCAGCAAGTGGTTGGATCTACTTACAAAGTGTTCTTTGAGAAGACACCAACTATATATATATACGGTGATTGAGAAGTTTCCCCATACCCAGAGTATTTGCATTATATTTTGGATTTGCATTTAGCAATAATATAAAGGATATATGCAGCGACCATAGGTAACCATACCTTCAGATCCTCATTGTTATTTACATGCATTATACCTCTGTGCCAAAGTCACGTGATCATTTCACACTATATTTTTTTTGTAATTCTTGTGGAATTGCTTTACAGCAGTGGAGATCCTGGGCTTAGTATTAATATTTTTATTTATATAGTACCAGCATATTATTCAGTGCTGTACAACAGAATGCTGGAGTCCAATATGGAACAAGGCAGTGGAATATGTAGATATTCACTAATCCTGGGTTTGCGTTTTAGTTTGAAACTACATCATTCATTGTTAGCGCTGTTAGCAGAATGGACAGTAAGTGGAGCTCTAGAATGTGTATACAGCAGTGGTTCTCAAACTTTGTAGGTTCAAGGCGCCCTTAATATTTCAATATTTTTCCAAGGCGCCCCAAGTCAAAAAAATGTCTAGGTTGTATATATGTACAGCCAGTGGCGTACATACCAGGGTCGCAGTGGTCGCGGCTGCGACCGGGCCCGGCCCACCAGGGGGCCCGGTCGCCCCTGCGACCCGGTATGTACCCACAGGGCCAGCCTCTTCTCCTGGGGGGCCCAGGAGCCGGCCACCTCAGGGCCCCCCCCGAGGCTGGCCCTGCTGACCCCGGCATGCGGGCGGGCTGGCTGTCTGGGTGGCCGGTGCGCGAGGGAGCACTCTCCCCTGAGTGCTTCCTCTTCAGCTCCCTCGGACGTCATCTTCCGGCTCAGGGGAGAGTGCTCCCTCGCGCACCGGCCACCCAGACAGCCAGCCCGCCCAGCAGCACCACTGGACCCCAGGGAATCCCCTCAGCTCTCCAAAAAGTAAGGCGGCTGGGGGGATTAAATTTTTTTTTAAAAATGTGTGTGTGTTAGTGTGTGTGTTAGTGTGTGTGTGTTAGTGTGTGTGTTAGTGTGTGTGTTTGTGTGTTAGTGTGTTTGTGTGTGTTAGTGTGTGAGTGTGTTAGTGTGTGTGTGTTAGTGTTTGTGTGTATGTTAGTGTTTGTGTGTATGTGTTAGTGTTTGTGTGTGTGTGTTAGTGTGTGTGTCTGTTATTGGGTGTGTGTCTGCTAGTGAGTGTGTTACTGTGTGTGTCTGTTACTGAGTGTGTTTGATGTCTGTTAGTGAGTGTGTGTTTGTCAGTGAAAGTGTATGTTTTGTAAGTGAGTGTGTATGTATGTCTGTCACAGAGTGTGTCTCTGTCAGTAAATGTGTGTGTCTGTTAGCTAGTGTATGCGTCTGTTCGTGAGAGTGTGTGTGTGTGTGTCTTCAGCATTTACCTTTCTCCAGCGTTGGACTCCCTTGGCGCTGGGGATCCCTCCGCCTCTCAGCTCCGAATGCACATGCACGGCAAGAGGCGCGCGCGCATTTAAACCGCCCATAGGAAAGCATTACTCAATTGTGATTTTCACAGTGAGTATCGCGGAAGCTCCTCTAGCGGCTATCAATGAGACAGCCACCAGAGGCTGGATTAACCCTCAGTGAAACATAGCCGTTCCTGTTTACATTTTATTTCTGTTTTCACTATTATTACTGGCATTTACTTGTAATGTATAATCCATTTGATTTATATTAATTCTGCAGTTGTATTCTATTAACAAGCAAAGCTAATAGGGTTAAGTCTCTTTTACAGGTACCCTGCCAGTTAAGCTGTTTTACAACCAGTGCATTTAGTAAGGCAGGGGAAGGCATTCTTGGCAGTCCAGATGTTTTGGACTACATCTCCCATAATACTTTTACAGACATAATCCCATTGTACAGCGTTACGGAATCAGATGGCACTATATAAATAATAAAATAATAATAATAATGCTGGCAAAGCATCAATACTCCAAACCATCTGGAGTGTCAACAGGTGCCTACCCCAGCACTATGGCAAGGTAAGGTTGCAAAAATCATGAAAGCTATTGTAAATCCAGTTGCATGCAGTATAATATGTTTCATACAGTGGTTTTAGTGCTGCCCATGTATGTCCTATATATTGGTAGCTAGGCAATGCTGCGCATGTGGTGTAGAATGCATGTACAGTTAAGCAGTGAGGCGGGCTGAAGTTGCTCACCTGGAATGAACTGAGCAGTAATTCTGCAGCTAGTTTGCTGTAGCGGAATCCCCCCTTTGCGCTTTCCTCAGGTATCAGATTAAATACGGCCTCGTGAATCCCCAGTAAGGGGATCAGCGTCAGTGTCGATTTGGCCAGTCTGTGGAATAAGGAGACAGTGATATCCCGTACCCACTAATAAATGAATAAGGATTACACCACATTACTTTTTATGCTTTTTAAGAAGATAATTTTCTTATTATTCAGGTACCTGTCAAACCGCCTTTGGGTAAAACAATTGAAAGCTTTTTGACACACCAACATTAACTGATGACATTTACTAACTTTAAGAAAGCAACACTCTCTGCTTTACTTTTAATACTGTTGGCACCATAACCACATCAACGGATTGAATTAGTTATGGTGCCTCGAGTTCCGTGAGCTCTAGGTCTCACATCGCTGCTAAACAGTTTACTCACCATATAGCAGAGATGCTCAGTTCACGGCACCTCAAACCATACCAATTTATAAAAGCGATTGGGGCAGTGATTAGCAGAGAGCTACCGCTGGTATGGCATAAATATAGCACAGCTCCTTCTACCATTTTGTCATTGGAGTCCAGACTGCAGGCTGCTGAGACAGAGAATCTCGTAAACCATTTAGCAGTGATGCAGGACAGGGAGTCCATGGACTCCAGGCACCATAAACACTCCTATCTGTTGCCTTCAGTATCCGTTTAAACAAGCGTAAACTTAGTATAATCACCAAAGCGTGTGCACAGGCACTTCAAACCAGTGAAAATATGACATTTATAAAATAAACAAGCAGCAAGCTCCATAAAATGTGTTAAGTCAATTTAAACAAGACAAAACAAAAAAAGAAACAAAGCTACAGAAATCTCCTAATTGAGAATAAATATACTTAAACATATATGTGTCGACTTACTCTCATGCATGTGCGAGAGTCCAACACTGGGGACTCTGGAAAATCCCATAGATTGATGCCTAAATCCCACAGCCATCACTTATGATGGCTGCTGAGATTGGACAAAAGTTGACGGCAGAGCTCTGTCTTTTGTAAACATATGACAAGCCCCATCTTGTCTATTTGGTATCTTATGATTGCATTGCAATTTCTGTCAAATATATCTTCATTAAATATTGAAAATGACAGATTCTCTTTAACTGAACATATTTAGTTTTTAAGACTCCCACTGATCAGAGAAAACACAAATCTGTGCCATCTCACTCAGGTAGAACACGGACGTACCTGTATTTACGATCACTTATTCTCATCTGATTGGCTCTCAGCTTCAGGACTAAAATCCGCAGTATACGTAGGAAGATCACAAAATTTATCTGGTGTGAAATATAGAGAAATATAAAGAAAAACTATGCCAAAATCAAAACAATTGAAGACATCTAACTATTCGCTAAGAATCATATGTCAGACAGAATATTGATATTTGCACAATTATTTTTAGGAATGATATCACACAAGCAATATCAAGCACGGTGTGACATTTTCTGGACTGAATGACAAGTTGTGTTGTAAGAATAAACCCCAAATTAAAGAAGTTACAATAGCATTCTTTTTGTTTGCATTTGTAAAGTCCATTCAAATGTCTTCATACGTTCCTTACGAATGCAAAAGCAACAATTCTGTATTACAGGTTGGACCACATTTACTCCTGGAGCTATGGTATTAGTAGTACGTGTCCCGTTATCTCTTTCCCCACCTCCAACATGGCATTGTAGGGGTACAGCAATGTCGTTTGATGGTCTGTGGATTCCAAATTGTATTATTTTCTGGTTACATTCGGGTAACATCACAAAGAGGGTGGCATCTTTGGTCGGTGAAGAGTTATGGCATTTGTAGCTGAAGGACAATTTTGAACATTCTAGAATAGTGTTCAAAAATACTGGACTTACCAGAATAGCTAATAAGAGGGGAGATCGAATGATCCAAAAATAAGAAGAATTGTCATTCCTTTCCCAGCACCTACAATAGAATAGATAAACACCTCTTAAAATATGCAAACACCAGGATGCGGCTTCTCCATGAGATTAAAACTTTCCTTAACACTCTGCGTAGAATGCTGTCGTGGGTCTTGCCAACGTGACAAAACACTCCATAAACTGACACAAGTTTATATCATATTTTGTTTTACCCTGAAAAATGTATATGTTCTTATACAACCTGAGTATATTGTAATAACAACATACCACATCCTACAGTTATATTATCTTGTGTTGAGTTTGTGCTTGATATATGATAAATGTTACTCTTCGCCTTCTTTTGTTAAAACTCTGTAAATATGGAATGTTAAGAAAAATTAACAAATGAGTTTCACTTAGGTAGCAATGGAAATGAAATAAATAAGTTCCCTTTAATGGAAAGCTGTGACTCTACTAAGAAGGCAAAATGCAATAAGCACTGCAGATACATACAAGCACGATGTCATAAACATACATGCGCTATTGGTTTGAGTGGGAGGGATTCTGGGGTTGTATCTTTGTACATTGGTGTGTGCATGGAAACGCGCTTATTATTAAGTATCACAGTACCATTTTATGTGACAGTCTTGCACTCACTGTGTGTTTTCATAGAGTTGTCGCACCACCACCCAGGGGACTACAAACAGAACCGGTACTCCTAGAATAAGCAAAATATGTTTTAACTCAATAGCTGGTTAGCAATGTGAAACAATGGAATGTCTGCTAGCAACATAACGTAAAAAATAAACTCTCAATCCTCTGTGGCTTTTTCATTAACAGCCAAAATAGCACATTGTAGCATTTCTTTCTCAATTTATTAACTCTTGGCTTAAAGGACCACTATAGTGCCAGGAGAACAAACTCGTTTTCCTGGCACTATAGGGTCTTTTGGTCCCCCCCCACTCTCATGGCCCCTCTCCCGCTGGCCTGAAGGGGGAGTAAGGGGTTAATATCTTACCTTTCTCCAGCGCTGGGCTCCCTATGGACACTGGCGTCTTCTCACTGTGAAAATCACAGTGAGAAGCGCAGAAGCACCTCTAGCGGCTGTCAGTGAGATTAACCCTAATGTAAACATAGCAATTTCACTGAAACTGCTATGTTTACAGTAGGCAGGGTTAACCCTAGATGGACCTGGCACCCAGACCACTTCATTGAGCTGAAGTGGTCTGGGTGCCTATAGTGGTCCTTTAATTTTGAAAATGTCAGGGTTTTTCCATTAAAGTGGCAACAAATCTAAGTGAATGTAAAATTTTGGGGTTCAATAACCAAAAACAGCTATGTTTTCGGTTTGTTTATTTGGGGCAAATTATGACATTCACACTGAATTCTTCACAAATAACCCTGGCAGCTGTCAATTTATCACACAGCTTACTGTTCAGTAAATAATCCCCTGTGAGGTTTGGATCCCTGGGGACAAATTGTACCTAATCCACTTAACATTTATAAAGAACTCCATTAAGAGTTGTATGCATTGCATAATGCTGTTTACTCTTATCTTATATATTATTCAAAGATTATACTGTGTAGTGAGGTTTAATTAACTTAATGGCCAAATACTAAAAATACAAATTTGTTTCCCACAGTCATTCACGATGGATAATAATTTGTTATAATGCTTATTTGATTTCAATACAGATAGCTGACTGTACATCATGTGATATAGTTCCGTTTCTTCCTGTCAGAATAAATAATATAATTATACTAAAAACTAACACAAGTCTGATTTGAGAACTTGTCAAATCCATCTTTTTAGTTTAAGGAACACTATAGGGTCAGGAACATAAAACAAGTATTCCTGACTCTATAGCATTAAAAACACTATCTAGCCATCCTGGCCTCCTCAGATATAGTAAAATCTTAATTTTATTAAAGCCTGCTGGTGCTGGCTCTACCCCTGATCTGCCTCCTTGGCTGACATCATCAGAAGTGATGATCTCAGCCAATCACAATACTTTCCCATAGGAAAGCATTGGATTGGCTGAGATTGTCAGTTCTTAAGATCTCAGTCAAGAAGGCAGGACAGGGGGCAGAGCCAAATGCCGCCGAGGCCAATTAGCATCTCCTCATAGAGATGCATTGAATCAATGCATCTCTATGAGGAAATTCAGTGTCTCCATGCAGAGAGAGGAGACACTGAATGTCAGTCATACTGTGCAGCACTCCCTAGGAAGCGCCTCTAGCAGCCATCTGAGGAATGGCCAGTGGAAGTATCCCTAGGCTGTAATGTAAACACTGCATTTTCTCTGAAAATTGCAAAAAGCCTAAAGGAAATACCTCTCCTCACCAGAACAGATATAAGAAGCTGTAGTTGTTATGGTGACTATAGTGTCCCTTTAAGTAATTTTAATCCTCTTATTCAAACTACTCAATACTATTTACCAGAATATTTTAATAGCACGCAAGTATCCTTATTCTTCATTAGCTACTTCATTTTTTATAATTCTGGATTGAATGATACTTGCAATATTTACTGCAGAGGGCATCGGAATTAGCAAACAGCCAGCTGTGCAACCCACTTAGATTATTATTAATTTCATTTAGCTTAACATGTTATTATTATTATTAAAAATAGGCTATAATAGCTTAGGTGGTAGGTAAAACTAGAAATGGTGCACCTTTATTTCTTATGGGTCCAAAACTTTTTGGTACATATTCACCAATTAAAGGGACATGTATATATACAGTGACATGCAGTAATACGCACACATCATTGCGCTTACCCCAGCCTAGTAGCATATATCGAGGAAGTGCCCCTTCTTCGGAGAATGACAACACAATCAGCAGGTTGTGCAGATACAAACCTTCTACCAAAAGCCAATAATAATTGGCAGCCAGGAAATATAGCGAAGTGATGTGAGCTAAACGACACCCCACCATGGTCTGAAAGGGAAGTGAGAGAGTGGTTTATTACATACCCACACATAAGGAACATGTCAACACAGAGAGAAAAATTGTGATCGTTCATAAATCATGGTATGCCCCCAGCCTTCCCATGGACCCACGAAAACCCCACAGACGATTCAGGCCCAGGAACCGGTGCAACTTACCTTTCCCTACATTGTGTTGATCCTGCATTTGTGTTCCTAAGATGGTGGCGCCAGAAATTCCATTCTCTGTCCTACCTTGGGCGTGCGAGTCAAATGATACGGACGCTCAAGTCCTCCAATGAACCTGTGCTGCCTCTTGCAATTGTGCAAAAGTAAACACAGAGTGCCTGTGACGGGCAGCTCCCAGAAATGACACAACCCAGCCAATGGCAAAGGCCATGGAGCTTCCACCATTTGCCAACTTTTGTCAACCTTCAGGTCACACATAAGAAAAAGTAGTCCCTAATTTTCCTTATATATAACATTTAAAAAATACAGCATAATTTGGAAAAATAACAACAACAACCACAAAAAAGCGGGGAAACTAAGGTTGGCCAGGGTTGGAGCATACCAATAATTAAATAAAAGTGACATAGTGTGTAACATACTGTACAGGGAAAGCTTAGGCTAACGACCAGCATTAAAGAAAGGCGGCAGTGAAGATTGTGAACCACTTATATGTCAAAATGAGAGGCATTTTGCACTAAAGGAATTTGTAGTTAAAACGGGGAGTAAGCAATGGCATTAAAATGGATACATCTAGAGGTGCACCCACAAAACCTACATATATCATGTCATATGACGGCAACTGTGTAGCGGAACATTCTAACTGATACCCCTCTAAGCATAATGTGTCAAATGTACTTTTAGAGGAGAGAAGCTTGCTAGCCCAGGACACAGCTCTACAGTGTTGATTCCACCCACTTACTTTTTCTCTGGATAAATTTGTGAAGTCTTTCTCTGCCTGGAGCATGCTCTTCTCTCTAAATAAAAGTGCGTCTCTTGTCAGCACTGACACTCCACGTAGTATGAACGAGACAAACAGGTTGCAGTGGATCAGATTCCGAGTGCAGCGCAGGCGCCTGTCACAAAAAACAATCCATTTGGTAAGCAATCTTATTTTTCTAAAGCATTACCTAGCAGCGTATTAGCATGATTCTGGAAAAGCTTGGGGCTGTTCATTAGAATGAGAATTATGGGAAATAAAAAATGGAAGTGCACATTCAATGCCAAATAACTGAGTTGGTAAAATAGGACATTTAAAGAAACAGTGTGGACCCTTACGACACTTTATCTTACTGACAAGTTTTATGTGTGAAGAGTATGTCCTCTTTTTTATTTAACAAATAGAGCAGATTTCAATAGGAATTGACACTTTTATAAATTAAACTTGTTACACCTCCCCGGTTATCAATCACACAACTGGACCTGTTACTTCCTAGTTTGGTTAGCTCAGTGTAGCTAAACGCAAGAAGCAGCATTTGCCCAGAGCACCTGTCTTGCAAAAACGCAGCTGCATTGGGAATTCTGTGATTGGACAGCCATAAAAAGTGGGTGGAGCTAGAAGGGGATGACTTGTCAAGGTTGCAGACAAGAGATCTGCAGCTTTTGCAAACTGTTTTTAGATATATTCCCATTGAAAACATGCACAATTAAATGTTTGCATGATTGTTGATTTTTTTATTTGGGCAGTTGGAGAATTTCTTTTTAAGTTTTTTAAATCTGCAATTCACTTCACTTCTATCATTCCTATGTTTGTGAAAGGCCCTCAAAGTGTGTGCTGTCTGCAGCCACAAGTAACCTTTGGAAAACCTTTGAAAATCCACCATATCCCTTATCTATATTATTTCCTTCATGCTAGTCTTCATTATGCCACTGTCCCTGTCCTTATACTTTTTATCCTGTTTACTATTTTCTAATGCATGCTCTCATAATCATGTATGTATTATCCTACCAATGTCATCTTGTCACTGCCCTTACCCAGTTTTTTACATTTTCCTTTTATTTTCCCCCCTGTATTTTAGAACTTTTTATTGAACAGGGGTGCTTTCCTGTAAAGATACGAACCTCAATTGGGTGAGTATGCACACGGCGACAATGAGTGCAGTGACGGACACACTGTATCCCACGTTGTACATGACACGTATTGTCAAAAGGAACCAAGACTGATGCTGAAACGGAAACAGAATTCATTGCAAAGTAACTTCTACAAAAATATGGAACAATTTGTCCAAATAAAATTCTTGTTAATTGTTCCCGGAAACTATTCAATACCAAATCCATCCCATCTACAGATTCCACAGCAGACCTGCAGAAATTGTATTAGTTTATTCCAAATTAGCCAAATAAAAAATTTTTTAATCCACACTCAAGCTAATTGATTCATCTGCAAAATAAGTAAAAATTCACTAATTCAGTTGCAGATATAAAGGATTTTGGGACTATTCTTTTCATCTGTGAACAAACCACATTTTTGGACATGTCTGCTTCACAAGTAAAACCATTCAGTCTGAATTTATTTGCCGATTTACACAAATTTTCTTCAGACGATTCGCTTAAAATTAAATTCTACACATTTCTGATAAAAAGTGGAGAACATTTCAATGCTGTTTAATCGCTAATTCACAGATTGCAGTTCTATGCTAATTATTACAATATAAGAATAATCAAAACAAAGTAAAAAAAAAAAAACAATACTGGTATCAATTTTTAAAAAAAAATTGTATTTACTGAACCTAAAATTGCGGAGAACTGAAAAGGTAATTGCAAATTCGAGGTCAAATAGCTGAACTGGATAATTTTTCAATTTGACTACTTTGGCCTACAATCTCCAATTACCTTGCAGGGCCAGAATAACATAGCGGCCGAGGAAGCTGCAGTTCCAGAAGCATGTCCCTTAAATAGGCCTATGGAGATTGACAGAAAAACGATAAGTATTTTTAATATCGCTACTTTCCACAATACGCTTGCTCTTTAATGTTGTGCAGAAGGAGGGCACTATGGGGACTCAAGAATACCCCCAAAATACTATGGATTGCAGGACACTGGCCTAGTATTGAGAATGTATCATCAGATCAAGGACTCTTGGTAGTATTTTTTTTTTTTTAGATTGGCGCTGTGAATTACCAGCAATGCTCGCCTTAGTAAATAACTCTAATAAATTCTGTAATTAGGCCCATCATTATTGTTACCACCAGGCCCATTAGGCTCTTAATCCAGCACTGTTGCCTTGTCAGTTCTCAAAATAGAACCATATAATCTGTCGTTATATCATAAGCAATTCTACAATACCAATATTAGTTATCAAACATTTATAACATGATTTCCTAAGAGTGTATCAAATCACATCCAATCATGACTATTGTTTTGTAAATAAAGGAAGTAAAGTGATTCAAGACTTTGCGAGCCCTGCAGAGGTCAAACGATGTGTCTGAGCTGTTTTTTTCATGGTTATTTCATGAATAGAATGATTTCATCAGATTAACAGCACACATGATTATTCAATAAACTCCAAGTGTGCTTCTAAATATGCAGAATATTTAAAGTACACTGTAGGCATCTCATTGAAGTGGGATGGGTGCAGTGTCCAGTTTTCGAGAAACTGGAATGTTTATATAGCAGGGTTAACATTGCCTCTATAGCAGGGTTTATATAGCAGGGTCTACCAAACAGCCACTAGAGGCGCTTCCTGCTGTTTCACAGAGTTTAATGTGAAATTATGCTAGATGTCCTCTTGCTCTGCGTGAGAACTTCCAGCGTCTTGATAATCCCCATAGGAAAGCATTGAGTCAATGCTTTCCTATGGGGAGGGTCTAAAGCATGCTTCCGGTGTATGCACTTTAATTCCCCCTCGTGATTATGTCGGAGGAGGCTGAGATGGACTTCGGTGCTGGAATCAGGTAAGAGTAATGTGTCTTTTAACCCTTTGAGTGCCCGAAGGGGAAGGCGGACACCATAGTTTTAGGAATACAGCTTTATATTCCTAACACTCAGGGCCGCCATCAGGAGGTGACAACCATGATGGTTGTCACAGGCCCGGCGGTCCTGGGGGGCCCGGACTGCTCTGGCAGTCCCGGGCCCCACTTTCCCTCTCTGCACATATATATAGCGAATATCGCTATCTATGTGTGCAGCCGCGGGCCCCCGGTTCCCTGTTACCGCAGAGGGGGCCCAGCACACAGTTTCTTCACACGCAGTTCATCGCCTCCAATAACTCTCACGAGACCCGCGTTGCCATGGCAACGCTCCGCGCGGCACGCAGGACGTGGGTCTTGCGAGAGTTATTGGAGGCGATGAACTGCGTGTGAAGAAACTGTGTGCTGGGCCCCCTCTGCGGTAACAGGGAGCCAGGGGGGCCCCCCATGCCACTGGACCACCAGGGATGGACCCTCCCCCCTCCCTGGACCAGGTAAGAAGCAGGGAGGGGAGAGAAACATTTAATTTAATTTACACTACACTGACACACACTCTGCATACACTAGTACAACACACACACTGCATACACTATACTGACACACACTGCATTCATTACACTGACACACACTGCATACACTATCCTGACACACACTGCATTCATTACACTGACACACACTGCATACACTAGTACAACACACACTCTGCATACACTAATACAACACACACTCTGCATACACTAATACGACACACTCTGCATACACTACCCTGACACACACTCTGCATACACTAGTACAACACACACTCTGCATTCACTACACACTAACACACTCTCTGCATTCACTACACTAACACACACACTTTGCATTCACTACACATTAACACACACTGTGCATTCACTGCACTAACACACACACTACATTCATTACACTGACACACACTCTGCATTCACTACACACTAACACGCACTCTGCATTCACTACACTAACACACACTGCATTAATTATACACTAACACACACTCTGCATTCACTACACTATGCACACACTCTGCATTTACTATACTGACACACACTCTGCATTCACTACACTAACACACACTCTGCATTAACTATACACACAGAATCCACTACACAAACATCCTGTATTCACAGCACACACACTACATCCACCACACATTGAAACACTCTGCATTCACTATACAGAGACACTGCATCTAATACACACCCTACATCCACTACACACACTGCATCCACTAAACACATTGCATCTAGTACACACAAACATTACATCCACTACACTAACACACACTACATCACTGCACACACACTACATCCACTACTCAAACACACTCTGCGTTCACTATACACACTGCATCCGCTACACAAACACACACTCTGCATTCACTGCACAAACAGTATCTAATACACACAAACACTACATCCATTACACACATTCTAATTCACTTCCACTATTTACACCACATTCAGTCCCACATCATTGTCAGCGGACTAGGTAGGGCGTGGGCAGGCCCGGGGGGGACAGAGGGGGGCCCCAGACCTTGTGCTTTGTCAGGGGGCCCAAAATTTCTGATGGCAGCCCTGCTAACACTATATTGTTCCTGTAAAGAGTTTGATTTAGAATTAGCATTCGGTTATTCACCGTGGTCAACCTGGGTTATTCACTAATGTGAGAATTCAAAGTGAATTTCCAAATTAAGGTCAATATAGCAGAACTGGAAGATTCTGTAAGTCAGGTATACTGTCAGTTTGACTACTCTGGTCTTAAATGTAAAATTCACTTTGAATTCTCACTTAAGCAAATAACCCTATTAGACTCAATATGTTGACATTCCATTAAGGATACAGGAATACCGTCATTAATTAAACACTAAGCTGTTCTATAGTTTATAACAATTTAATTAATGGACTCTGCCCAGGTCATGGGTTTGGCAGTTGGCTCTCGTCATGCCAGAAGCATCTCTTACTTCTGAGTTCTCTTGCTCTGGGTCAACATTCTCACACTGAGTGTTGTCTCTCCATGGCTTGCCTGTGTCATCCAGGACCCACTGGCCATCAAAGCCACAGCGCTGAAAGACGAAGCCCACTTTTACTAAATTGGGGAGGAAGAGATAAGGAAGGAGAAGTAGGAGTAGAATTAAATGTAAAAATAAAAAAAGGTTTTACACCCCACAACCTCTCTCTGGATAAATATAGGACTGCAAAGATACGAAGTTGTCTAGTTGTACAAATAAAGGAATATAAATAATAATAATAAAAATGGAAATGTAGAGTTGTGATGATTTAGAATTCTTGTCACGAATGTTACACATAGACTAGAAGATAGACTGGCTGGCCACCTAAGAACTTTGTATAGACATTCCAAACCATCTGGAGGGACGGCAAACTTTTAATGAGAAATGTTTGTCCCCTTAGAGGGCATACATCAAACCACATGGCTTAGTAAGGGTTCAACTATCACTGGGGTGGATTAAAGTGAAATTCTAAGTCTCTAAGTCTATGGATATTTCTTGTAGATTTTCCACCCCCCAAAAAACAAACACAAAGAAAATACTTAATTTGTAAGTATTCATATATATATTTTTATATAACTATATCAGTAAATCCATGTGGCACAGAAATGATCACATTGTTGAAATGTCATCTTCTTATAAAAGTAAAGTGAAGACAATACCCCCTATTCCTTTAAAACGGTTTGTTTTTATTTTATCGTGCTCAAACAGCAGGACATATGGTCTTAACAGCTAAACCGTCATGACAGTGGGGATATCAACCCCCCAATTATGTGAGGTGGATTCATACTACACCCACGCAATGCTTACATGGTAGCACAACCTGTGCTTTAAATCTCTTGTTTGTCACCTGTGTCTTACCTTTGGAGTACCACGGTAAGTATGATGGACAGGGTTCCGCATGCGTTGTGTTAGCTGCAGCATCTCCCCAACACACGTACCAGTCAAACGTTCGATTACAGAATACGCCTGTAACAGGTTACATGTCAAATGTACAAGCATGTAAGGGGTATTCAACATGTACTTGGAAAGACGTACAGTAACTGATAATATTTCTCCCATGTGTACACCCTAATTAAAGGGTAACTATCACTTCCCTGAATTTATAATATTGTGTTTGCATATCCCTAGGTTTAACAAATATGTATTTCTGAGGAGTGAAAAACTAAATTAAATACAGAAATTCACACCTTTTTATCCTGCTACTGGATGCCTCCATCTTAGTGATTGATATAATCTCTGCCCTTTGAACTGTCCGAAGTGGATAATAATTCAATGGTGTAAATTCTAGAGAAGTGATATGTCTCTTATCAAATGTTGCAAAAAGTAAAACAAAGTTCTAACAGTAGAAAGTAGCATAATGTCCATGAAAAACAGTGAACGCATCAGGTACATCCCCTTCGCTGTACACAGAGACTGCTTTACTTTTAGCAATTTTCAGCAAAAAACAAGTGTCACTAAATGTTACAAATACGACCCCGTCGTTTATGAAGACATGGTGGAAGAGGTTTTTTTTTTTTTATATTTACTCATCTGCGGTAAATCCAGCTTCAAAGAGCTGCTAAAGAAAATATGTCAAGTAAACAAATGTAACTTTATCATCTGACATGCTAAAGATATTAGATCAGCCAACAGCTTTTTGCTTGAATTTTTTATTCTATGTATTGGTTGTTGATGTGTTTTGTGTGTGCTGTTTGTGCATTGTGGAGTCTCACCGCTCATGGCAGGCTCGGTCTGCATCCTATGTTCACAATCCGCTTGGTATTTTTCCCACGCTTGCACTGTGTCATGTACAGTGAGTGTCTGGACACCCTGTGACAACACAACACAATGAATCACAGGATTCAATAACACAAATAAACTGCATTAGGAATTCAGAACACAATGTTAGCTTATCTGAGTACCTAGGGTCACCACCCATCATCCCCAGTTTGTTTTTGTTATATTAAAGTCATACATGTATTGCATTCAGGGCCAGTGCAATGAATTTTGGCTACACAGGCAAAGATGCATTGCGCCCCCCCACCCCCGAAAATTCAGTTTTGAATTTTTTACTCTCTTTAGCGTATTTTATCCCCCCTTTACTATGTCTTACACCCTCTTGTGTGTCTCTTACAACTCCCTTTGTGTATCTCTTACTTTCCCCAGCCCCTTTGTGTGTCTCTTGACAGGTGTATAGTCGCCATTTTGGGCAGTCGGAATCCAGGACAACCACCCCATAACCCAACCCAATAACGCACATACTAGAGGATATGGGGAAATATGTCCACAGCTTTATTTAGCAAACAATAATAATAACAATAATAATCATAATAATAACTTAACAAGTAAACATGGGTCATTGCCCCCCATACTCCGCCCTCGCATCCTATTCCTTCCATTAACATATAAAGGGCAATGACCCCCATATAAATAAACATATATATATAACATACATCAACATTATTCCAATCGATGTAAAGTGCCAACCATCCATTAACCACGGCAGGGGTATACCCGGATACCCCTACCCCACCAGGTTCTGAGCCACCGACAGGACTCGAAACCTATCAACCACCAATGACCACCACTTGTTTGTCTTCCATTACGTTCATCCTGGGGAGCCTATTTCCTCTCCTTCAGCTCCCCGTCCCGCCGCTGTGAAAAAACGGGACAAAACCACACATAACAAAACAGGGAGGGTGGGTGGGACAAACTTAACCAGGTAGGAAGTTAAAATGAATTAACTAAAATGGCTGCCCATTTAAATAACCAAACCCACTTACCCATAACTCCACTCCCTTGCTTACTTCCTCCTAGGCCCGCCTCCTAACCCCTGTCAAGGCCTTTTTCCGCTTAGCTGCGCTTGGCTACATGGGGCTACATGACAGGTGTATAGTCGCCATTTTGGGCAGTCGGAATCCAGGACAACCACCCCATAACCCAACCCAATAACGCACATACTAGAGGATATGGGGAAATATGTCCACAGCTTTATTTAGCAAACAATAATAATAACAATAATAATCATAATAATAACTTAACAAGTAAACATGGGTCATTGCCCCCCATACTCCGCCCTCGCATCCTATTCCTTCCATTAACATATAAAGGGCAATGACCCCCATATAAATAAACATATATATATAACATACATCAACATTATTCCAATCGATGTAAAGTGCCAACCATCCATTAACCACGGCAGGGGTATACCCGGATACCCCTACCCCACCAGGTTCTGAGCCACCGACAGGACTCGAAACCTATCAACCACCAATGACCACCACTTGTTTGTCTTCCATTACGTTCATCCTGGGGAGCCTATTTCCTCTCCTTCAGCTCCCCGTCCCGCCATAAGCTCAGACCTTGACCCCTTAAGCCGTCTGAGCTCCGCCACCCCGAAGAAACAGCGCCCGCTGCATACCAACCTGCCAACCCAAGTTGAGCAGATCCCAACCCACCTCCGAAAGGTGAACCCCGTCCGAGCGGTAGTACCCCGGCAACCCCTCCTCCAACTCGCTGTGCCGTACCACCACACCTCCCATCTTCCTAACGAAGCTCGCCATTAAGCTGTTCACCTTTTTCCTGCAGTGATCAATCGCCACCGGATCCCGCGCGTGCCGCCATCGACGCCTTGGGACAATCTCCGACCACACTAACATAACCCCCGGAAGCAGGTCCCTCAATTTGTTGATGTCCTGCTTCATCCACTTTACCAACCGACGTTGTGGCGTGAGGCCCAAGTCGTTACCCCCAGCATGAAGGACCACCATGTCCGGTGTCCTCCCGCCCACCACCATCCTAAACATTGCCCCACAAACCTCCCCCCAGCAAAATCCCCTGTACCCAAACCATCGGACTGTCAACTGGTCCTTCGGAAAGCCCAGCTGCTGGCCCTGCATTCGAGCTGCGGCCCTCCTCTCGGCCCAGAAGACAAAAGAATGTCCCACAATCCAAGCAACCCGTCCTGGGGAGAAGAAGAAAACAAGCATGAGGGAAAGGCAAAAGAGGACTCCTCCGTCCATGTCCGCCCCCGCACCATATCTATACATACACATATATATAAACATATACCTACCCAGACATGTACCTTTTTTTTTTTTTTTTTTATTCCAATAAGCCCAACCGCACATATGAGCGGAACCGCACCGACTCCCATCTCCCTATGCGCTTCACGACCTCATCTCCTAATCCCAACCGTGCGGCCTCCGTGGCCGCCCCAATGCGAAAGGAGTGAGTACCAAAACGTCCGGCCGGAAGCCCCAACTTACCTAGCCCGGCCCGAAAAACCTTTGTAAACTGAAACCGGGACAGGGAAGAACCATCCGCATGTACCAAGAAGGAACCCCCCACCGCCGGCCTCCGAGCCATGTACTCCGCCACTGCAGCCACCGGGCACAATGCTGCGCCCGGCAGAGCCCATAGCGTAACGTCCCTACCCACGCCACGGACGTCCGTCTTAGAACTACCCAGATGCACAACCACCTTACCCTCCAAAACACGAACCCCTGAGGCCTGCAGACCCCCGGGCACCACCCTACTGGCACTCACCAGCTCCCCCACGCGGAACGCCCCGAAAAATGCCAAGAGAAAAGCCGCTCTGAACAGAGAGACCTCAAACCCGTTGAAACAAATTTCCGGCAACCGACCCACCAGATCCCCCAATACCCGTACCGACACCGGGCGCCTAGAGTCACAGGTCCTGCGGCCCTTTCGATAACCCTTCAGCGCCTGCCGTACTAGGAAGGTCTTAGTCAGATCCTCCGACCCGCGCCATCGGAACCAGAACGCCATTGCCGCCATGGACCTGTCGACCACTGCCGGGGACGCCCCCTTTGCCAGCAATTGGCAGGTGTACCATAGAAAAGCGTCCCGCAGCGCATCCCCACGTAAGCCATGCTCCAACCCGTCTAATGATCGTTCCCAAGAGTCCCAGACCTTACTGTAGGAGGCCCATGTGGCCGGTGCCAGTGAAGCCTTCACAAGTCCCCCAAGCAGGACGCTCCCAGCTGCCATATCTCGTCCGGGCAAGCCTCCCCTTCCTTCAATGCTCCTGGCGCCATCGACCAAAATCGGGACCACTGAAAACGAGACAGAGCGTCAGCCACCTCATTCAGGTACCCAGGGACATGACGCGCGCGAAACACAACATTCCGTGACATACACATCAACACAAAGCGCCGCAGCAACCTAACCACCGGCTTAGAGGCAGCCGATTGATTATTCACCGCATGCACCACCGCCATGTTGTCCGAGAAAAAGACCACTTTCTGGTCCCGGAGCCCCTCGCCCCATAGTGCCATTGCAACGACCAACGGGAATAATTCCAGAAAAGCCAGGTTGCGCATGACTGGGCTAGACCCCCATGCCTCCGGCCACCGCTCCGCGCACCATCTCCCGCCAAAGTAGGCCCCGAAGCCCACACTACCCGAAGCATCCGTGAAGAGCTCCAACTCCGCCGCCGACTTACCCGCCCGCCTGAAAAACACCGTCCCGTTGAAATCCTGCAGGAAGGCATCCCACACGCCCAAATCAGCCCTCATGGTTGCTGACACCCGTATGAAATGATGCGGGGATCGAACTCCTGCCGTAGCAGCCGCCAGGCTGCGGCTGAAAACCCTCCCCATAGGAATTACACGGCATGCAAAGTTCAGCATCCCTATTAGCGACTGCAGTTGCCGCAGCGTAACTTTGCGCTCAACGGTCACCGCAGCTACCGCCCCCTTGAGCCCCTCCAACTTGTCCCGAGGCAGTCGGCATTCACCCAAGATAGAATCTATTTCTAACCCCAAGAAACTAAGGCACGTCGTCGGGCCCTCCGTCTTATCCGCTGCCAGCGGCACCCCAAAGTGGCCCGCCACCCATTCCACGGTCCTAAGCAGTTGCTGGCATGCCGAGGAGGCAGCCGGCCCCACGCAAAAGAAATCGTCCAGGTAGTGCACCACCGAACGGTTCCCCGCCTCGACCCGCACCACCCATTCGAGAAAAGTACTAAATTTCTCGAAATAGGAGCATGAAATAGAACAGCCCATAGGGAGGCACAAGTCCACGAAATATTTTCCCTCGAAAAAACATCCCAACAGGTGGTGGCAGTCCGGGTGGACTGGCAGCAGCCGAAACGCCGCCTCAATATCCACTTTTGCCATAAGTGCCCCATGCCCGGCCCGTTTAACCAGCTCGACCGCCCGGTCGAATGATGCATACGAGACCGAGCATAGGTCCTTATCAATACCGTCATTCACCGACTCCCCTTTTGGGTAGGAGAGGTGGTGAATGAGCCGGAATTTCCCCGGCTCCTTCTTTGGCACCACCCCAAGAGGGGAAACCCGTAGGTCCTCCAATGGGGGCACCGCAAACGGGCCCGCCATCCGCCCCAGCGCAACCTCCTTGTCTAGTTTCTCCCGTACCACCTCCGGGAAATCCGCCACCGACTTCAGGTTGCGCAACCCCCCCGAACCCCCCGCTCCCGGAAGGGAATAAAGAAACCCCGCCCGAAGCCTTCCCTAAGTACCGAGGCATCAGTCCTGTTACCGTAGCGGCTTAGCCACGGCTCCATCGCGTCTAGCCTCACCGGCGTGAAGCCCCGGGGCAGGGGAAGCATTCCCTCCGGCCCCGGCAGCCGCTCCGGCTGTTCCCGCCTTCCCTTTTTTGAAACAGCGATTGAGCCCATGAGCACCCCCGCAACCGGAGCACTCATGCTTAAATCGACAAGCGTTTCCCCATTTGCACTGGCCCTCATTGTAGAGCCAGCAGAAGCCCTTTTGCAAAGCGGCCGACGAGGCGGACTGCCCCTTCGCGCCGGCCGAGTTTGGAAAGGGCTGCGCCTTCTGGGCCATCATTAGCTTCATCCAGAGGGGCAGATCCATCTGATCCCACCTCATCCCCGGGTTAGCCGCCAGTCGCTGCCTGAACTGTTCATCGTAGCGCCACCATGCCAGCCCCCCATAGGTGCGATATGCTTCCCAAATGCCGTCCAGGTAGCAGAACAGGGACGAGCATAATCCCGGCGATTTTTCCCCCAGCACGCTGGCTAGCACGCAAAACGCCCGTAACCAGTTGCCAAAGGATTTCGGAATCTTGCGATACCGCTTCCTCTTCTCCTCCTCCTCCTTCTTTTCATCCTTTTTATCCTCCTCCTTGAGGTCAATAAAGTCCTCCAAGGGGAGCAGGGAGAAGATCTCGCAGAACTCACCTTTCCAGAGCTTCTCTTTCACGTCCTGTTTCAGATGAACCCCCAGGGGGCCCGCAAACGAGACGTATGCGTGCTGCCTCGCTGCATCCGGAATACCCCCGGCCAGTTCCGCCTTGTCACCCCCGGCCGCCATCGCCTCGGGCGCCACCCCCACGTCCCCGCCCGAACTAAGCCCCACGGAAACCCCACTAGGACCAGGGACCTCCGTCCCCGGGGCCCAAACCCGACCAACGCCACCCCCCGTGTCACCCCCCGCCCCCAGCGAGTGGAGCAGTGCTTGCAGTGTGCTAACTAAGGAACTGGAGTGTAGTGACCCACAAGACTCACCGGCCAAGCCCCCTGCAACTGACGCGGCAGGGGCTGCGTCGTCGACTGCCCGATGTCCAGGGAGAGCGACTCCCGCCGATACCTCGCCAACCGGGGAGCCAAACCGGTGCCTTGCCCGTGTCGATATGGAACAGCTCCGTGACCTGGAAAGAGGAGAAGAAGTCCTGGGTAGGGTGCACTGAGTATTCGCATCCCCCCCGTCTCGACCCTGGGAGCGCCTGCCCCTTGCCAAAGCCTCCCGCTGTGCCCCCTGCACGCGCCGCGCGCGGGAGCCCCTAGGGCTACGGCTCCTCCTGTCTTCCCCGGGCATCCGTCCCCGCCGACCACCCCTGGGGACGCTAGACCCGCTCTCTCCCGAGCTCCCTGACCTGGAGCGGCGCTGCCGGGACCTCCCCCTCCTCCCCCCCCTCCCCCGTGGCTCTACTTCCCGAACCGGAGAGGGACTACCACTACAGGACCCTGAACCGGACCCCCCCCCCCTACTACCCTGCACCCCCAAACGCTCACCCCTCCGGCTAGAGCCCGACCCCCCACCTGAACTGGCTCCCAGACTAAGGGGACCTAGACCCCCCTCAACCAGACTGGCCCCCCCAACCCCTAAACCAGGCCTACCCGACCCTACCCGCACCGGCCCAGCCCCAGAGCCCAAGGAGGCCCCCTTTCCCCTACTGTGGGAGCCCAGCAGTCCCTCCTCACCCACAGCCCCCCCACCCCTACCACTACTCCCCCCACCTATGACCCCTATGCCCTCCCCATCCACCACCCGCGGTCCCTGGGAGGCCTTCCCACCCCCCACTTGGGCCCTCCGCCCTCCGCCCCCTGACAGGACCCCCCCAGCACTTTTCCCGCCAAGAGGGCCCCGGCCGGAGCCCCCTGCACTTGCCTTTGGGGCCGGGAACCGGCCACGTGTCCTCCCGGTCCCGGCCCCGCCGATCTCCGCCTCCGACGGGGCGCGCGCCCTCCCGGGCCGCAGCTCCATGCTGCCCGCTCCTCCAGGGGACCGCCCGGCCACGTCCGACCCGGCAGCCGCGACGGCCCCGTCCCGACCGTCCCCCCGGCCCCGGGCACTGGTCCTAGGCTCCGGCCGCTCGCGGGGAGGCGGGGCCTCTACCACGCGGCTGCCGGGCCTGCTGCCGCCCGCACCGGAGCCTCCCGGACCACCAGGGATGTCTTCACCGGGTCCCACACCCGGGCTTAGCCGCTCCGGAGGCCTCCTGGCCCGAACAGGCCGTCGTCCGCCGCCGTCCTGGCCCTCCGCCGCCGCCAGGGCCGGGCCTAACTGGGCCTTCAGCCAGTCAGCCCCCTGGTGCCTCGCCGCCGACCGGATCCGCTCCAGCAGTCGCTCCACTTCCTCCATCGGCCCTGCAGGGAGACAAAAGGAAAAAACCCTACCAAGCCAAATCTGTGCCCACAGGAGCGAACACAAACTTAACCAGGTAGGAAGTTAAAATGAATTAACTAAAATGGCTGCCCATTTAAATAACCAAACCCACTTACCCATAACTCCACTCCCTTGCTTACTTCCTCCTAGGCCCGCCTCCTAACCCCTGTCAAGGCCTTTTTCCGCTTAGCTGCGCTTGGCTACATGGGGCTACATTCTCCTCCCCAGCCCCTTTGTGTATCTCTTTCTTTCCTCCAGACCCTTTCTGTTGCTTTCTCCCCTCAGTCTGTTTTGTGTGTCCCTGTCTAATAGACATAGATATATGGAAACACACAGTCATACAGGCACACAGTCACAGAGATATGCAGGTACACAGTCATACCAATCTACACATACAAGTATGTCATACAAACACAGCCATACAGACACACACACACACAGAGACATTTAGACACTGTCATACAGAGACATTCAGATACTGTCATACAGAGACATACAGACACAGAAAAACAGAGACATACAGACACAGACATACATAGTCTTATAGTCATACAGATACAGGTATACAGAGCAGGGGACTGTGAAAATTTAGGGGGTGTAGTGGGGTGATAGATGTTGTAATTTGAGGGATGTGTAGTAGGGGAGTTAGGGGGTGTTATGGAGGGGACAGGGGCTGTAGGGGGGAGACAGAGCATGTAGAGGGGGAGGCAGGGGCTGTAGTGAGAGGTGCAAGCCTGGATGGCTGTTAGAGCTGCTTCCTATCTCAGTCTTACCTAGTGTGCATCACAACATATCAGTGTCTCCTCCCTCTGCATGCAGACATTGAACTTTCCTCATAGAGATGCATTGATTCAATTCATCTCTGTGAGGAGATGCTGATTGGCCATGGCTGTTTGACTTGTGATGGCTCTGCCCCTGATCTGCCTCCTTCACAGTCTCAGCCAATCCTATGGGGAAGCATTGTGATTGGCTCAGAACAACACTTCTGATGATGTCAGCAGACAGCTTGCTATTCTAAGGCAGACAGGGGCAGAGCCAGCAGCTTCAGGCTTGAATACAAGTAAGATTTTACTATATTTAGGGAGGCAAGAGAGGGCAAGGGGGCTAGATGGTGGTTTTAATACAATAGGGTCAGAAATATATGTTTGTGTTCCTGACCCTATAGTGCTCCTTTAATCATAATAATTTAACTATTACTATTTTAACGCTGCCACCACCAAGACAATTTATAAATGGGGTTCCTTAGTCCCCCAGGTAACTTAATAATAAGAAAGCACCACATGTAACTTAGCACAAAATCTATGTAATTGCAAAATACTAATTACTCTCTTCAGGTAACGTGATTCTTTAACAAACAAAGGTAGAACTTAATAAAGGAATATTTATTATGAGCAAAAAATAGTCACAGTGCATACTAAAATATAGCTGACAATCAAATTAGGTACACCAACAACAGATAAAACCAAAAGGGATAAAATAACAGAAGTCCTAATAACTTACTCAGGTTTTCAAAGTAAAACTTTTGTCCCAGGGGGTCTCTGGTAAGAAATATGGTGACTCACTCACAATTAGATTCTGGCCCCTCAAGCAAGTACAATGCACATTTCAGTATTATTAGAGAATAGAGATATACCCTGTGGATTATCAAGCCTCACCCAGAGGTGGAGACAAGTGACCATCCCCTTGTGTGCCCGACCAACATCAATCCAAATGGAAACATTTGGTTCTATCTCCTCTTATGTACTTGCCACAGAAATAATGATCGCATCTATGAATTGGTTACAATTTCTCTATTCCATAGATAAGTCACACTTCTTACTTGTGACCCAATAGAGCGGACATCCCAATCCCTTCCCATATGGTTAAGTTATGCAAATCATGTTTGGGCTTGATTAATAGATTGTGCTGGTCAGATTCCAAATATAACAAAAATGAGGCTTAATTATTATTCTGTGGGTAAATATTAACGTTTCTTTCTTTAGGATATGATACTGGAACACAAGGCTTGTTTTTTATCTTTTCTTGAAAGCTAATGATCATTAACATATCAAAGACATCCCCTCATCAATTAAAAGGCAGAGGCCATATGGGTGAAGTCAGCTAGTTTACATTGGAGCTAGACTTCCAGGCCACCTATATGTGACTTGTCACACCAGGCCCGGACTGGCCATCGGGCACACCGGGCAAATGCCCGGTGGGCCGCGGTGGCCATGGGCCGAGGCCGGCAGGGGAGGTCCCAGAATCTCCCCTGCCGGTCTATGCAGGACCGGCGCTATCCGAGCGCCGGCCCCGCTATTTGCCATGGAGGGCCGGTGGGGAGATCAAAGATCTCCCTCACCGGCCCATTTCAATAGACCTGCGGCTGGGGAGGGAGGGAGAGGACCCGGCGGAGCTCTATGTTGTAGCTCCGCCCGGTTCCTCTTGCGAGATCCGGCGCGTTGCCATGGCAACGCCCCGATCTCGCGAGAGTTCACTCACCACTGGACCACCAGGGATGATGTCACCGTGCCGGTCCGCCTCCTCCCAGCTACCACGTGCCTGTCCCCCCCTCCCAGGCTAAAGGTAAGAGGGAGGGGGGGATTTAATGCCTACTTAGTTTTTTTTTTTTATTTCTTTATTTACCCCCCCACACACACATTTATACACAGCACTCTCACACTCATCACACTCAGCACTCTCACACACATCATACACAGCACTCTCACACACATCATACACAGCACACTCAGCACTCTCACACTCAGCACTCTCACACTCATCACACTCAGCACTCTCACACACATCATACACAGCACTCTCACACACATCATACACAGCACACTCAGCACTCTCACACTCATCACACTCAGCACTCTCACACACATCATACACAGCACTCTCACACTCAGCACTCTCACACTCATCACACTCAGCACTCTCACACACATCATACACAGCACTCTCACACTCAGCACTCTCACACTCAGCACACTTACACACATCATACACAGCACTCTCACACTCAGCACTCTCACACACATCACACTCAGCACTCTCACACACATACACAGCACTATCACACACATACACAGCACTATCACACACAACACTCTCACATACAGCACTCAGCACTCTCACACATCACTCTCACACACATCATACACAGCACCCACACACACAGCACCCTCACACAAATCAATCACATACAGCACCCACACATACAGCACCCTAACACAGCACCCACACCTCACACACAGGATCCATCACACACACATACTGCACCCCTCACATACACACACAACCCCCCGATACACTGCATCACACACATACACAATACTTCCAAACATATTTATATAATATATATACACATATAAATATGCACACAGCACCCCTAAACACATTTCATTCCAGACACACACTAGATCCTCTACCCAACTCTGGATCATCTACACACATACACACACTAGATCCCTATATACACTCTGAATCCATTATATACGCACGCTCACTAGATCTCCTATACATATTCTGGGTCCTTCAAACACACACACTCTCGATCCCCTATACGCACACTAGATTCCTTGTAAGCAAGCACATACTACATTCCCTGAACACACACACTCTACAAACACTACATCATGTACACACACACACACACACACTATAGCCTGTATATACACACTTGCTACATCCCCTAAACACACATTCTCTAAAGCCCCTAGCCATATATGCATTACATTACACCACAAACACAACACGACTAAAACCGACCTTATTACACAATACCACACCACGACCAGCTCACTCTGCACACACGCAATACCCCAAGCAGGCTCCAAACACATGCACAATACTCTTTCCTGGCCCTTTTGTCTCCTGGTATCCATTTATAGAGACACCAGAGACAAGTTGCAAGGAAACACAGTGCAAGCATGTTATTAAATTTGCTTGCACTGTGCAGAACAAATACAGGGCTTTTTTCTCATGCTAGAGCTCTTCAGCAGAGCTCTGCGCATGGTCTACCCTGGGAGAGCATTGAACCAACATGCTCACTTTGAGAGGGGGCGTGTTTGTCATGAGTGATGACAAAACACACCTTCTCTGCCCCGCCCCCTTCTTAGTGGGCCGCTGTGATAAAAAAATGCCCGGGCCGAATTTTTTTCCCAGTCCGGCCCTGTGTCACACCTTACAGAGCTTTCACAGGATCAATGCATATGGTAAACCATCTGCCCCCTTTCACATTCCTATGCAATTCACACTACCACTTCTGTCACCTGATCTTTACCAAGTGGTCAATTCATATATGCACTACACAAATTACATGAATATTTTATTATACAACAATGAATTATGCACTGACACTGTCTATTTCCCCTTGCAGAGCATTGCTACCCATCTCCCTTTGCAGAGCACTGGCTCCTGTTCCCCTTGTAGAATTTTGCCTTCATTTACAATTTATATGACGTGTTTGAACATACTGACTTGAAAGTTTTTTAGATTCTTGAAATAGAAAGATATAGCACAAATGTTTCTTGGAACACTTATGTTTCCTAATTGCCTTCTGTAAAGAAAAATACATTTTGTAAGCCCCCAGGTGACTGGCAGTGGGCTAATTTAATTCACTCAGGTCGGGTAATGTAGAATCCATTTTATGAAGTATTTAAAACTATATCAAAAACAGGGAACAGCAACTGAAAATCAAACTGCAAACTTTAGATCAAATGAACCCAGTTGAAGAGGAGCTAAGATGGAGAACGTTTTAACTGTGGCTATATTGACTACATTTTTAATTCACTACAATTCACTATTTAATGAACATTCTATTGTGTTAATAGATTGCTATTGTTCAAGGGTCAAAGTGAATAGGCCTAAAGTAATGCTTACCGAACTATGAATCTTTACCTAGATTGTAAAATTAAAAAAAAAAAAGACGAAATTGTTCCTTAATTACATCGGCTGAAAAGAGACACATCAAGTTCAGCCTTTCTCACACCTGTTCTTGCTGTAGTAAAAAGCACTTTCCAATTAAACAACAAACTAGGGAAATATTCCTTCTCAGTCAGATCTTTCCTTGGATCAAGAAGCTGTGAATTTATCAATTCGTGCACGTAGGCCTCAATTCAATAAGCTTTCCAAATGATTAAATACTATTAGAAAACTTTTCAAATCCCATGGGGATGGACCCATAGTCCTTTCTTCTGTTTAGACCAGCGGAGGGACCGACCAGATATGAGCAGAAATGTTACAATATACTCACCTTGGCTGCAAGAAGGGGTACTTGCTGCCAGCTCGATGAAGTAAGATGTCCCATCGCTTAGAGAGGTCAAATCCATGAAAGAACGTAATAAACTAATTGGCCAACTCACAGCAGCAGTGGGGGGTGGTGAGGCCACGTTTCGGAAAAAATTGGGCCAGGTGGGAGTAGATGTGACCCTATTACGGGATAAGTTTTCGATTTGGATGCTTGCGGCACTCCTGCCCCCCACCCTTCTCCTGTACTTATAAATATTTAGTCTGGGATCTCCTGCTTTCAACTTCAAGACGGGCTCTGTATCTTACCAAAGTCTAGCGATATTGACATTTACATACAATGTGACAAAGATTTCAGCTCACACATTCTGGTGCATGCATTAAGGCCTGTCTAGATGTTAATGTGTAATGATCCTGAGACAACGTTGTACCAGCTGCTGTCATTTTGGATTGCTTTATTTCAGCGTTACCATTTCTTCAAAACACGGGAATTTGTATAAGCGTTTTTACGTGTCATGGCACTTTGTAATGCAAATTTCCCTGCCTTTTAAATAAAGAATATAAAAAAATAAATAAAAGAAAAATAAAACTTTGCAAACAATTTATCTATAAAAATTCAAATTAATTGTTATCGTGACTTCTCTACATGAATCATTTGGCAAGTGTTTTTAAAAAGTATGAAATCATTTAGAAAGCTTATTAAAGGCACTCTATAGGCATGCAGACCATCTCATATCAATGAAGTGGACTGGGTTCCATGTTCCCATAGCTGATCCTTGTGAGTAAAAACAATACCGTTCTGCAGGAACTGAAAACTTTACATTGCAGGGTTTAAAGGACTTTAGTGGCTGTCAGTAGAGTCGACTATGACAGTATAGTTGAGTAAAACTTGTCACGCATGCGCACTAGCCTCCTAACTCTTTCATATGGAGATCATCGAGTTAATCCGTTAACTAGAAACTACAGTGTTAGGAGAACATATTTGTAGTGTTCCTTTAAATCAAGGCCATAGTTGGCTCCTTAAAGATTCAAAAATCCCACTCACTGGTCACTCTATTATGTAGCTCAAAACATTCACTGGAAAAAATCCACTGTAAAAAGGACAATTTATAGAGCACACACTTCAATTGCTGTCCTCTTCAATAAGGAAGTTCAAACCCAGAGTAGACAAACAATAAATTTAAACAGACGCACCCACCTTCATAAAATCCAATCTTTTATTCGCCCCTTAGGTCTTTAAAAAAACACAAAGTATCCACGCTGATAAAGTAAATGCCTCGGTAGTTCGGACCACAAAAACATAGCAAAAAAAATCTCCCATTTAATTGAACTAATTCTGTCAATCTATAGTTAGCTCCTAATGTAATATAATTGAAACAAGAATAAATTGTAGTGAATGGCTCACAGTGTACCCCTTTAATCTGGGTTAGTTGGGATTATAAACAGTCAGACTGCAACTGTATTGCCCCCGATCTTGTTAAATTAGGGACAGCATATGGTATTTTAGTTCAAAACCTCTTGATGTTTTTTTTTTTTGAGAATTAACAAAGTAAACAGAGCAACAGTTTATCATTCCATTGGTCAACAGCACGTTCGTACAATATAATCATACCTCTTAATGTTTTGAACTGAACTTCCAAAAAGTAAATAATTGGGCTCACCAGCTACGAAAGTTGGAAGCAGACACTGGGTTGTAGGACCAGCTCTCTCATCCCTCACCACATGTGCAGGAGGTGAGGTTTCAACAGAATAAAGGTGATAGCGGATCATTTTGATTTTTCTAACTTATTTTGTAGATGGTAAAGGAGAAAAATAACAAACAGAGCCCTTTATTCCCTTGGAATATTTACAGAGAGATTCCCATTCCCACACCCCATGTGCTGCTGTTCCCGTCATTCAAGGTGTGAGTCTGTGACATGTAGGAGTTAATAGATCACAGAGTGTGTCCTCGCATGATTGGGTGTGTAGCAACCCTAACTCTTCAGAGATTTAACCTGTTTACCTGGATACAGTTATTAAACTATCCCATTTCATGTTACAAGATACAAGTTGGGTGCGGGGACATAATGGAGTACGGTAAAATAGGGATGGTGGTGTGAGTTACTGCCTAAATACATATTTAACCCCTTAAGGACACAACTTCTGGAATAAAAGGGAATCGTGGCGGAATATTTTCGTCATGTGTCCTTAAGGGGCTAATTGTCTGTTAATCCGCTCCCAGTCTTGTACCTCCCCAACTCCCCCCTCTATTTTATTTTTGAAAAATGTAAGGTTGAGCATTTTTGACAAACCAAGTGCAATATATCCAATTATGACGGATTAATTGTAATACAAAGTTCTTCTGTTTAACTGACGATACAATTTAACCGGACGAAAATAACAATCGTAGCCTGATGTCTGATTACATAATATGGCTTCAATTGTATTCAACTTTGATATTTATTGACCGACTACAAATAAAAATAAAGATTGTAAAAAAATATAAAATGACAAAAATAGAACAATAAATAATAAAACAATAGAGCAGTTCATTTAATTTCAAGCTGTTTTGGTATTTGTACCAACAACGAGAAACTAGCGCTCTATATGCATTTTTTAAATAATTGAATTCTATGAAAGCTTCACACGTGTAAAACCGTACCATTCTAACTTGCCACTTTTCAGTAGACATTATATGAGCGGGATGTAAATATTTAAATCCACTTCTTAGATCTATGCGCTCATCCATATTTTCTCCTGTAATGTCATAATAATTATTCAACTCAGGAATGTCACACATTATTTACAAAACAGTACATTTTGGAGACAATTAATGAGGCTTTCACATTTTAACATATTAGGTGAAATATATATATCATTTTTTAAAATAAGTTCAGCTATTTTCTATGATCATCTATCATAGGTTAAAACTTTAAATTATTTTGTAACTTACTCAAAATTACTGGTTTAGTAAATAAACACATTAAAAATAAAGCTGTTAAATATTTATGACATGAAATGTATGACAAAAAATGGTGTACTTCTAAATAGAGAAGTATCATGAATTGAAAAAGTAACTGTAAAATGTATGCCTGAAAACCCTGGTCTGGTCACAGCCCTGCTATTATAGCCTGAATTTTTCAAACTTGTTTTTAATTCACCGTTATTAGTTTAGCCTTTATGAACTGCAGTTTCTGTACTTGGGGCAAAGAAGAAAAATGAAGGTGATGAGTTTATTTAAACTAAAAAGATCTGGCACGAAATATAGACTTATAATGTGTTAAATATTTAGAAACTACTGTTCTAGATCACCAGGGAAGATAATGTAAATATATATTATAGCAGTCAACCTTAGACATTCATTCTGTGTTACAGTGGACCGGTCATTTCAAAAGAAAATCACTTTCTGATTCCGTCACATGTTCCCTGTGTCATTCAAAATTGTTTTTATCTAAAAGTGTTCTAAATTGATTTCATGGGTCTAAATTAAATCATGATGAATGATTTTTATCAATGAATTTAATTTTGGATGGCAACATTTGTGTTGTCACAAAACACGATTTTAAACTTTGTAGAGAATTGAAAATTACATACAAATGTTAAGCTAAAATAGTCTAACTCTATCACTGACTTGGAGACAATTAGTAAATCTGCACGTTTTGTTTAAATTTTACAATTCCTTTTTCAATTTGATGCAATTCGCTGTCTCAAACCCTAAAATTTGTCTTACAAATCAAATAATAGCATCAATCGCAAAACGTTTTGGAGCAATTTAACAAAACATGGACTCTCCCAGCACCCATAGGGCACTCCCTCTACTGCCTCTCTGATAATGAAGAAACTACATTTCCTCATTGTCAAGTGCTAGTCTTAGATGACAACGAGGCAGCAGTGTTCACCTAACTCGAGCTAACCCACCCAAACACAGCCTAACAAGGGTTCAAGGCTGGACAGATTTGCCCTAAATAAAGCATATGTGTAATTTCTGGATTGGTATTGTGGCTACAGAAAGGGAGTGCTAGGCTCTAGTTGTTAACTGTGTCCCTTTAAGCACACTATTTAGAAGTCTGTCCTTTTGCAATCGCACGCTCAACAGAGAACATGGTTTGGCACCCATGATGTCATATACTCTGCAGTCTGATGTCATATTCTGGAATTCTGTCACAGAGTGGGAGCTCAAAAAAAAAATCTTTGTTGAACTACGTACATGGCAAGGAAAAACCAAACTGTGAAATATGCAGAGAAACTGGATCTGGCCTGTGATGCCTCTGACTGCCTTAAACAGGAGTAGAGAAAGTGCCTAGTTACAAACTATTTTATGTGTCGCAACAATAAAGCAAAAAAAACACAATTTGTTACAGTTGCAACTACCAGATGTTCCACGTCTATCTCTGTGAACGAGCTGTTTTTTAAACAACAACAAAACAAAAAAAACATGTATTTTTTTCATTCATGTTGAATTGCTTCCTCCCTCATTACCCAAATTTTTTTTTCCGGGAAGGCGTGTTTTGGACTGTTTGTTAAAATAGAAGATTGATATGTTGCGGTCGCAAAATTGCTCTAAAATGTATTGACCAAAGATAAAATAGGTTTACTTAACATGACATAAGCGCTGTGTGTGTAAGGAATGGTGACTTCCTGAAAGAGATCGGAGCGTCATGTAATGTCATCTCATTGATTTTTGAGCATCTGATTCTGTTTGTATAACATTTGCTGCTGGCAAAGCATGATTAACATTGCTTTGTTGCTATACTCGCTAACCCGAATTTGAAAAATTCAGGCCACAGTATGATGTTGAAAATAAATCTTGATTAGTAAATCCTTTCAGTTTATCAATTGTTTTTAGGAATTCTGAAAATTCACCCCAAATTTAAATACCTCACAGTTTACTGTGTGTTGTTTAAAGAACCACCAGACTCACCCTGACCACCTCACATGTAGTGGTCTGGTTGCAGGGGTCCTGTCATTTCAACCCTTCAATGTTAAACAGTGGAGAAGCGTTTTCACCAATCCAATGCTTCCCCTCTGAGCAGGCATGCGCATGTCTTGTCTTTGGAGGCAGCGCAGACGACTACAGCAGAGGAGTCTCAGTGCTGGACATGAGGTGAGTAATCTTTATTTAATTATTATTATTATTTTTTTTTATCAGCAAAGAGTAGTGGACAGTGGTCACAATGATAAAACGGAATCTATAGTTCCCAAAAAACTAAAGATGAGGAACTGGATTAGGATGTGTAAATTTAACGCGGATTGAATTTGGATATTTACATCTGCTAGATAGTAAGTCATGTATCTATATTAATAATATCCTAAATTGTTACTGAGGTGACTTGAAAGTCAGGAGCTCTTTTTCACTTAATGGTGAGTTTAAGATATTACTTTTTGCCCCTTAGGACCACTATATTCACCCAGACCACTTTATCTCAGTGAAGTGGTCTGGGTGCAGCAGCGCTGCCGTTTTGTTCCTGCAATATAAAAACATTGCCGTTTTGAAGATACGGCAATGTTTACATTGCAGGGTTAAAATAACCTCTAGTGGTTGTCTTCTTGACAGCCACTAGATGGTGCTTCTGCACCCACAACTGAGTCAGACTTGGTTCGTTGATGTTCAATGTCCTTGCGCATTGCATGGGGATGTCAAATGTCCTCTGATGCTTCCCATAGAGAAACATTGGAGACGGAGTCAGTGCCTCTCTATGAGAAGCATTTGATTGGAGGAGTGCAGTTCTTGGAACCCATGTGCTCTTTATCCCAATGCTTCTATATGAGAAGCATTGGTTTGTTTTAAAAGCCAAAGAGGAGAGAAGAGGGAACAGGAGGTGGACTAAGTCTCTGTGCTGGAAACAAGGTAAGTAAATGCTTATTAAAGCTAAATTTTAAAACTTAAAAGGGGGTGTGGTGGTCACCGATATGCCAATAACCTAATTAATTATTATTGTTATTTTTTTAAATTCTTTATTTTTGCTCTGACAGACAGATATCACGGTTTCAAATGGGGCTTACGCAGAAGCCAAATTACCAACGTTCATGAAAAGATTGGATTACACAAAGAAAGGTTAAGTGGTTAGCGTGCATGATACACAATGAGGCTAGACATCTCATGGCCTGTGCAAAAGGCGTTATTCACAGTGGAGTTATGCATCGTCTGTCTGATGGGGGTATTATAAACTGGGGAAATATTTACAGTGGTTAAAATAATAAAGGAATTTAATAAGTCTAAAACTTGTACAAGTGAGGTCTCCTATGTGAGTATGCTCCGTTGTCCACTGGAGCATGGGGCTGCGGTGTCCTGGGCATTCACCGTTCCCGTCCCATATGCAACTTTGAAGTAGGTTTTTCCTAATGGACAGTTATGGTTAGCGTCCCGTGTATCTCGGGTGTGATTAAACTAATAAGTAAGCCGTGGTTTATTGAATAAGGAATTAATTGTTAGGTTGAAAGATGGAGGGGGGGGGGGAGGGGGGGAATAACAGAAATGGACAATTGTTTAAAAAAAATTGCAGTGGAAAAAAAATCACAAATAATCTAGTCCATTGCTTGTATTTGTTCTACTTCCAGATACAGACATTATGTAAACTGTTATCATATTTTGGGCATTTTATTAATTAAACCTTTATAAATTATTATTATTAATTTTTTTTTATGCATCCTAATACATTTTTAGAAAACACACCATAGTTTTAAGAAGCTAATATTTTTTTCTCCAGATGACAGGGACAGCCTGCTTAAAATGTAAACGGAAAAATAAATTTGGACTGTGAAAGCTTCCCACGCTGGTACGGGAATTTTTCTCGATTTATTATGCAGCGGGACGTGATCACGCTCCTCGTCCCACCAGAACACTAAACAAAATCTATCTGGGGTTAAATTAAAATAAAACATTTCAAACTGCGACATTTACAACCATTTTATAAAAATGTAGGCCTTAATATTCAAGTTGGAAGTATTCCTTAATTTTGCCCTGTAATCCACGTTGATATTTTGCATGAAATTTACAATTCTGCAGGTAATGCGACACATGATCAGACTCTTTCCCTTTACCTAAGACAGGTAAATTTGTGCTGCTAGACTATGTACAGATTTTTGGGGCTGGCTGAACCCTGGTGTCGTTTTTTTTTTTTTTTATATATAGTTTGTATTTTGCCTTATTTTTAATATTTAATCATTTTCTTTTATCTTTAACACGAACTATTAAAGTTACATTTTAATGTATTTATATCTTCTGGAAGCTGGCTTGCTAAATACAGAGAGCGTTTATTGAAACTATACTACAGTCTACAGTGTGTACGAAAATAATATACCCTCCTTGTTGTATATTATGACAGAAACCTCTCAATTTTACTAATAAGCTAGGAATTGTAGATAGATGACAAATACATTTTCTATTTTAGACAAAATTAGCTAAACTGGTGACGATTATCCACCTCAGTCATAGAAAACATTAAAGGACATTATAATAGGCACTAAAACAACTTAATCTTATTAAGTTGTTATGGTGCTATAAATATCCCCCTTTGTCCTAACCTCAAATTATTTTTAATTCTCTGTTTCTATGGCTCGAAAGTGTGACTTAGAGCCACACCCACAAGTCTTCTGAATTAGAGAGCATTAATTACACTTCCCTGAATATGCTAATTTGAATATGTTTTCACATTCTATGACTTAGTTGGTGCATTGGACATAAATTGTGGGGCAGCAGCAAAAGGCTCCCTGTTTAATTTTAAATATGAATATGACATTTTATCAAGAGCATCTGCAGAGTGCTCTGTATCAGCATGTGTGGCAGTGTTTGTAGCTGTATCTGTGTTTCTGCATGTGAGTCACTGTTGGTATGTGTGTATCTGCATGTGTGTCAGGGTTTGCTTCTGTGTGTCTGTACATCTGGTTATGTGGCAGTGTTTGTATCTATGTGTCTGTGCATCTGGTTATGTGGCAGTGTTTGTATCTGTGTCTGTGTATCTGCATGTGTGTCAGGGTTTGCTTCTGTGTGTCTGTACATCTGGATATGTGGCAGTGTTTGTATCTATGTGTCTGTGCATCTGGTTATGTGGCAGTGTTTGTATCTGTGTCTGTGTATCTGCATGTGTGTCAGGGTTTGCTTCTGTGTGTCTGTACATCTGGATATGTGGCAGTGTTTGTATCTATGTGTCTGTACATCTGGATATGTGGCAGTGTTTGTATCTATGTGTCTGTGCATTTGTATATGTGGCAGTGTTTGTATCAATGTGTCTGTGCATCTGAATATGTGGCAGTGTTTGTATCTGTGTCTGTGCATCTGGATATGTGGCAGTGTTTGTATCTGTGTCTGTGTATCTGCATGTGTCACTACAATTATGTCCCCGAGGCAAAATTTCTCTGGATGCCCTGTGTATTCTATATTAATTTTTATAATGCGCCAACATTTTCCGCAACGCTGTACAATGGATTCACAAGAAATACAAGCAAGTTAACCTTGCAAGGACAAAAGCTAGCGAGGGCCCTGCTTAAACCAGTTTATAATCTATTGATCATGTAGATTGTTTCTTTAGAAAGCTGTTTTATGATATAATACAATTATAGAGTTCTATGAATATTTTTTATTCATTTTTTTTACATTATATGAAAGGATGTCAGCATGGAATAAATATATATATATATATATTTATCCCCATGGCATTGTGAATGCACGTGTGTGTACAGTACTATGAAAGGAATGCCTAAGTGTGCATACATTTGTGTGAAACTTTCCGTACAGATGTCTGAGCGTCTATGATTGTGTCGGAAGAATCACAAGGCAATGACATCATGATGAAATCATTCACACCCAGACGTGCCGCAGAGTTAGGGTGTATTTTACAGTGTGAACCAGTCACCCACAAATCATGTGGATGGCAAACCCTATTTGCATTTTATTTTATTTATTTATTTTTTAATGATGTGCTAAAATTGTGTGTTCATTCATCTCCTTATAATCGAGGACCTGTTGCAATGAAGAGCATTTTGTTTCCTCTTCGATACTGATAACGAATGCATGCGATGTCATATGACAATCTTTATTGAGTATAATTTTTAAACAGGAAGGTAATGATAATAAAAAGAGAAGAGATAAAATAGCATGTAATAAACAATGAAAATACAAAGACTCATTGAGAGCCTAATATTAGGCCGTAAGTGAAAGCCCAAAAAATACATGGCATTAAATTAAGACACAAAATAAAACAAATCAAGAAATACAAGCAAATACATCAAATTGTAATATTGGAAATAGAATTATAAATGATGGCACTCTTGCATGTTCCGGAGCAATATACACTATTTTGAAACCCTGTAGAATTCTACCAGGTGGGTCAATCCCGTAAGCCCGGTTAAGACCTAAAGACGTTCTGCAATGCATAGACCTGATATTTATCCATAGGCCTCTGGTCTCGCAGGATTAATTGAGTGTCTGTCTACTTGGATCTTGAAACTAGTAGGCCCATCCTAAGTGATATACAGGGGTGGTTAAAGTGTGTAAGGAAAGTTATGAAAGAATTTAGAAGCTAGAGTAGTGACGATGAAAGAGGTTGAAAAGGGTACGTTGATTTAGCGTAAATGAAGTTGAGAATGCTCCCATGCCAACCCAGGAGTGGAGAGAGTAGAGTGTAGAAAAGAATGCTCTCATGCCGCCCTGGCAGCCCCCCACTGTGTGTGATTCTTGTGTATCCCGTTCGGGACTGCTCCTGTCCCCCTTCTGGTTCAGTCTGTCCGGAACCCAGTCTGTTTCCATTATGTAAATACAAGGGTACCATCTCTGGACATGTTTATCACTAGCATTTCTAGATGTTGCGATCGTTGATTTATTTGTTTCGATCTCAGCTACATTACCTTCCATTTAAGAGGAATGAGAGAATAAGCTGCAGTTAGGAGGAACTGGAGAATTCATTTTTTTTAATATTTGGATACTGGAAGACTAGAATGATGTAGGAGGACATTCTCAGGCCGGAAAAGGTGTGCTTCCACCAGAATTCTTTCTATGGTAACCCTAACCCCCTCCCCAAAACATAGATAAAGCAAAGCATGACCGCCATATGTGGAGAAGGTTACCAGGCCACTCACCACAACGCCAACACTGAGGAGAATAATGTATGCAATTTCAGAAATCTTCTTGGAATATTAAAATATAAAATAATTTGGTTTTATCTCACAATGTAATACTGCTCTCACTTCTGGTCTTTCTCTTGTTTGTTGGTGGAATAAAGCTTGGTTGCTGTAAATCTCATCTTCCGACTATTAGAATAAAGGCAAAGGTCAACCAACTTCATGGTCCCTAACTAACAGCTCTGCGTATGAGAAAAATATATTATAATATTTATAATAATAAAGTGTTTATTTTAATTTGGAGGTTTACCAGAAACTCCGTTTTATATTATAGTAAAATTTTATACATAACCTGATTTTAGAACAATTGACAAGCAAGTCATTTTATCCGACAAAAAAAAACACCACTCATTTCACCAATAAACTGTTAAACAGTACAATATCATCTAAGTGTTCCAAAACATTTTCCGAAAGGGTCGGTTTTCCGGATACCACTCTTGAAAATCATTCTATATAAATGTTCTTACATTTTCTTCTCCTCTTAAATGCCCGCATCCTCCCTGTCTTCTATCATTGGCCATATTTTCACCCCATCACTGACCCTTCTGTTTGCTTGTTTTATCCCCTTTGAAATTTGATGAGAGAATAGAAGATAACTATTTCAAACAGAAAATTGGGCCAACATTCTAAAAGTGGAATTATCCGCACGAACATGCCATCGGTTTCCATAGTAATTGTGCCACCTTTACAACTTTGCCCCTTTCCTGTTAGCAGCCTTAAAATAACCATCTCTAATGTGTTAAACTCATTTACACACCATATTGTATTCAATAATAGTCTTTCATTAGTCAACTTGCACAAAGGTCTCACCTTCAGGAGCAACAGGACAAAAGCTGCCAGGTGACCCCACATCCCAAGGTGACCAGTTTATGAGATCTGGATCATAAGACAGAAAAGATCATGAGCGCGTCAGTCCATATAATGCGTATGTTGAAATAGCTGCTGTGGTTGAAGTTTACACTGTGTCTGTATGGTGAAGCCTTTCTGAACTATTGTGCATGTCAGCGTTAGCTGGGGCTGTGGGAGGCTGTGAGGGTTAGGCTCTCTTAAATGTGAGTTGAATTCAGGATGTGGTTGTGTCACTAAATGTAGCATATTTGCTGGTAACTGTGTGTAGTGTACTGTGATAGGGTTAATTAATTAGTATAACTCTCAGAACAGAGTTTTGCAAACCACTTTTCATGGACCACCAGAGATCCCGGATTTACAAGTTACCTACCTCTGTTGTAATGGGATATTAATACAAATCTGGATCATTGGACTAGTTTAAGAACTACTTCTTTGAAAGCAAGGGGTGGTCAATAGTGGTTGTCAATAAGTAGACCCCCAGCTGCAGAAGCTCCCAGGAATCTTTCCGAACTTTTAGGATTTAAATAAATATACCACTTCTTGTCAGTGTAAGGTGTTTTTGATATAGATATGTAGGAGCGGCTGTAAATGGGATAATATACAGTGTGGATACATTACAGGGTGTGATTGGGATGCAATTCAGAGATTCTGAGAATGATGTAGTGTATATATGTGGCTATTTGCCTGACTCGGTCTGTTCTAAGTATAGAAAGTAGTGGTTCTTAACCCAGTCTCGAAGACCCCACAACTAAAACACAATAGGGAAATCTTTAAATTCTGGAGCAGTAGGTTTTGATTCTAAGCCCTGGGGTTTTCCTGGGTTTTCTTGGGCGGAATATAAGGCTTGGTTGGTATAGCAATGTTTTGTACAGGGTTATTCATAAAGTTAATTAATATTGGGTGTGATGGGTGTACTGTAAGGTTATAGTGTTTGCAGTGAATGGAGTGTAGTATAACAATGTGACACATTGCGCCCCTTAAAATGTAGTGATGGGAGTGGGTGGATCATGGTAGGGGGTCTCTCAGGTTATAATCAAGGCATGATGAAAATTGTAATTCAAAGGAAACCGAGCAAAGGTGTGCAAAGCTTATTACAGTACTATATAGACTCAGAGAAAATGACCAACTCAACTTTACTGAAAAAATACTAATTAAATGCGAAAGGTACCAAATGCACATTTTTGCTTTAGTGGTAATGAAGTATTTAGAAAGTCATGATTTCTTTCAAAAATATACCCACGCCCACCCAGACTCACACAAACATCACACAGATACCTATTCAGGGGGAATGGAGGGATATTTGACCCTGGATTAGAGTTTACCTTAGCACACCAGGCACACCCCTAGCTCACTGCTATGCGATTGTGTTCAAATGGTCAGTTATCCCTGTTAGGTGCAAAGTAAGTGTACATTGTATTTTCTTAGTACATTATGTAGGGGAGTTGTGATCTAGTATCACACAATGTCAGGCCACTCCTGGAATGTGAGTTGGGTTATTCTTAATGTAATAATCTTACTGTGAAAATGTATTCACTCGGAAACACAAATTTTCACAATTCACAATATTAACCACAATATAAGACAATATACTTTCTGAAACACACAACTCTAATATTGCCAATATTTCCGCTACATCATATAATAAAACATCCAGTTTTTGTATAGATGCACAACCAACCAAATGATCACATTTCTATATTTTAACTTCACACTAATTATATCTATTTATAAATACAGTAATTCCGTTATATCGGAACTAACAGTTCATTTATAACAATGAGCATTTAGGAATTTCTACCTATACCCCAGAAAATGAAATGCAAAGACTAATATCAACCCATGTGTAAATATATATTTATAGTGAGTTCATAGAAAAGAGGACTACCACAACCACAAAGAATTACAGGAATCATGAATGTGTTTTGATGTGAACAGGTACGAATACAGCCTAGGCAAAGACCTAGGGGTGCATTCACTAAACTGTGAATTATGAAAAAAGGGAAATGCTAATTATTTCAACATTCTTCAAATTAAATCATTTTGCCACTCAGCTGTTTGAGCCTAAAAATATAATTCCAATTCTCCACAATACACCGTTTATTACACAAATACCATAGGTAAAAATGAGAAAAAACTGAAAATGACCCCCTGTTTGAACTGGACAAATCAATAATCTGAAAGGTAAGTCATGAGAAAAATAAAGGCGTATACACAATTAAAGAAGCCACACTCAGAGATGTATACAATGAGGCTAAATATCAAGTTATACGATAATAGCAGTAAACTTATTTTCAAGGCTATATCCAACAATAACAGATTTGAAATCGTTATAGAGCGCGCACTTGATAAAAATCTCAAGAATGGTAAACGATAAATGGCAAGTAGTGGAACACGTTCTAGGTGATGAAAGCCATATACAATCACAGGTTGTACGTCTTAAAAAAAGCTAGGATGTATTTTAAAATATATTTTAGCCTATGTTCTAAAGCTTCAATGTCGTTCAAACAATTTATATTGTATATAATGATGTAAAAATAATTTGACAGGTAGAGAAGATCCTTACACACTTGCACACACACATTTATAAAAACAAGCACGCACATGCTAACTAAAATATAAATGGTAGGAGAAATGAACAATCTTGATTAAAACCGAAGAAGAGAGATATACAAGTTTGATAAGGTTCCAGTAAAATTAAGAAAATGATTCCTCTCATTAATGATGGAAAATATGATTATTTTGGCTCAAAAGGTTTTCCTTCCTAAGTTACTTTGATATTTCTCCTTTGTATTTTGATTTTAGGGTCCTTGACTGAGTGACCATTCAGAGTAAAGGTGTGTCTAATTGGGTTGCAATAGATGTACTTATTGTGTTGTTTAAAGGAATGTCTGTGCATATAACACACAGTCATACACAGATATATAATGCATTAGTAATATATGGCAATGTCGACACAACTATAGACAAACACAATCGTTAGATAGTTAGAGTAAATATGCATAATCCTATCATACCAACATAAGTCCATTTTAGGCACATCAAACAATAGAAATGTAAACTTTTACCGACTTACAGCGAATGTGCAGAATGTGTATGTGTAGCTGTAGACACTGTCAGTCCGATCCCTCTGCTTCTCTGTATCTGAATGAGGGATCCCAGGAACGAGGGAGGGAGGAGATGAGTGGAGGAAGGGATAGAGGGGGGAACACAGAGATATGTATACAAATATAGACCGAAGAGGGAAGATACACGGAATGGTGAGAGCTGCGAAATCAACGTACCTATAGTGTTTGTATGCCTGCGTTTATATAAATATATTTATATACATTCAATCAACTTCACACATAAAAAAAACCTTATCCTCATGCTCGCTAGGCTGTAACAAGTTACACATTCTAACAGATAAGAAACAGTTATGGATTCTGTACTTATACATTGCAGAGATTAGTAAATATCACACTTCTGACTAGCACTATTTCATTTCAAACTGGTTATAAAGTGCATTCATAAAGTAATCAGACCCCTTCGTTGTTTTCACATGTTTAATGTCGCAGATTTATGCTACAGTTGTTAATTTTTTTCCCCATCAATCTACACTCAATACCTCACAAGGACAAATCAAAAGCCGATTTTTGAAAACTGTGCAAATGTATTAAAAAGAAAAAATAAATATCACATTGCCGTATGTATTCAGACCCTTTGCTTTGACAACTGAAACTGAGCTCAGATGCATCCCATTTCTCTGGGTCATCTTGACTTTGAGATGTTTCCACAGTTTCATTGGAGTCCACATGTGGCAAATTCAATTGACTGAACATGATTTGGAAAGGCACACACCTGTCTATATATGGTATCACAGCTGCAAATTATTATCACAGCAAAGCTAAACTAAGAGGTCGAAGTACCCGCCTGCAGAGCTCAGAGACTGGATTGTGTCGAGGTACAGATCTGGGGAACACTACAAACAAATGCAGCGGCATTGAAGATTCCCGGGGCACAGTGGCCTCCATAATCTTTAAATCGTAGGTGTTTGGAACAAAGACTTTTCCTAGAGTTGGCCAGAATGAGCAATCAGGAGATGATGGTCTTGGTAAGTAAGGTGACCAAGAATCCAATGGTCACTCTGAGAGAGCTCCAGACATCATATGCAAGACCACACTGTAAGAAACATGAAAGTCCACTTGGAATCTACAGAAAAACACCTGAAGGACTCTCAGAAAGACAAGATTTTCTGGCCTGATTGTATGCAGAATAAACTGTTTGGTCTCAATTCAAAGCGTCTTGTCTGAAGGAAAGCAGGAACCACTCATCACCTGTGTAATACCATCCCGATGGCGAAGCATGTTAGTGATAGCATCAAATTGTTTTTAAGTGGCAGAGACTGGAAGATTGGTCATATTTGAGGGAAAGCTGAATGCAGCAATATATGGAGATATCCTAAATGAAAACCTGATCCAGAAAGTGCAGGACTTCAGGCTGGGCCAAAGGTCCAAATTTCAACAGAACAATGAATTTATGCACATAGCCAAGACAATGCAATAATGGCTCAGGGACACATCTATGTATGTCTCTGAGTCGCCCAGACAGAGTCATGACTTGACTTAAACCCAATCGAACATCTCTCGAGACATCTGGAAATGACTGTCCAGCAGTAGTTCCCATCCAACCTAACAGAGTTTGATAGAAATTGCAGAGATTATTGGCAGAAACTACCCAAACCCAGGTGTCACTTCATTACCAAAAAGACTTGAGCCTGTAATCACTGCCAAAGGAGCTTTGACTACCGGTAAGTAGTCAGTTAAGAGTCTGAATACTTACATCAATATGATATTTAATTTTTGGGGGGAGTGCTTCCCTCTGTCATTGGTAGCCGTCCAGCCGAAATTGTGAGCCGTTATTTGCGTGGCCTAGCAGGAGCTGTGAGGTGGGGGGTAGCCGGCACAGACAAGAGATCGATAGTATCGAGAAGGCGACCCGTTACCTCCCCCCGCCCGCATTATATA